GCAGAATCAACTCACAGCAGCCTTTTCCACTGAGATCATAAAATGAGAATGGGCCTCCCTCCCCTGACCCTTCCCCAACTCTCCCTCAGCCTCCCATTTCTTGCCAACATGACTCAATCAAAAATAAAATGGGCCAGGCACAGTGGGTCATGCCACAAAATCCCAGCATTTTGGAAGGCCAAGGAGGGCAGATTACCTGAGGTTGGGAGTTCCAGACTAGCTTGGCCAACATGGCAAAACACCATTTCTACTAAAAATACAAAAATTAGCCAGATATGGTGGCACACACCTGTAATCCCAGCTACTCAGGAGGCTGAAGCAAGAAAATTACATGAACCCAGGAGGTGGAGGTTGCAGTGAGCTGAGATCATGCCACTGCACTCCAGCCTGAGCTACAGAATGAGACTCTGTCTCATAAATAAATAAATAAATAAATAAAAATGGGGGGAGGGTTCTGGGCCTCAGTGGGCCTAGTGACAACAGACCCACAGTCATTCGCCTTACACATCCCTCTTCAGTGTGACCCCAAATACTCAGGGCAACAAATACCTCAGAACTTCCAGACCTCTCTTGCCTTTGGCCTAAATAAACTCCAAACTCCTTGGTATGGCATTCAAGGCCATTTAGAGGCATCACAGCCTTCCCATCTACCTCCCAAACTGGCCTGGAAAACAAATCTGATTACTACTCTAGTCTCACACAGGCTTCTCTTCCTGAAGGCCTATGTCCAACTTCCCTAATCAAAATCCTTCCTCCTTTGAGGCCTGGGCGCAGCACCTCCTTCATGAAGCCTTCCCCAGCCAAATTCTCTCAGCTCAGGCCATCCTGCCCAGTCACATGGCAAGGACCCATGGATGAATGCTTGATGCACTTCCTCTCCTGTGTCCAAGACACCTGCCTGCCTCCCTGTCAAACCCACCATGTTCATCTATCCCCACACTGCAACCTCCACCTCCCAGGTTCAAGTGATTCTCCTGCCTCAGTCTCCCAAGCACCGGGGATTATAGGCGTGCACCATCATGCCTAGCTAATTTTTGTATTTTTAGTAGAGATGGTGTTTCAGCATGTTGGCCAGGCTGATCTCAAGCTCCTGACCTCAAGGGATCCATCTGCCTCAGCCTCCCAAAGTGCTGGGATTACAGGCATGAGCCACTGTGACCAGCCTGACAGATGACATTTATGATCCCTTACCTTGAGCCAGGCCCTGTGTAGATTCTTCCCATTAAATTTTATCATTTAATCTTGACAGCAGCCTTACGAAGTGAATATGATTATCTCATTTGAAAGATGAGGACACTGAGGCTCAGAGAGAGCATGTAACACACCCGGCATGACACTGGTAAGTGACAGCTGGGGCTGTTGACTCTAAACTGTTGACTACGGCCGGGCATGGTGGCTCATGCCTGTAATCCCAGTGCTTTGGGAGGCCAAGAGGTAGATCGCCTGAGGTCAGAAGTTCGAGACCAGCCTGGCCAACATGGCAAAACCTCCATCTCTAGTTAAAAATATAAAAAATTGAGTCCAGGCGTGGTGGCTCACACCTGTAATCCAAGCACTTTGGAGGCCACGGCAGGTGGATCACCTAAAGTCAGGAGTTCAAGACTAGCCTGACCAACATGGTGAAACCCTGTCTATAAAAAATAAAAAAGTTTCGGCCAGGCACAGTGGCTCACACCTATAATCCCAGCACTTTGGGAGGCCCAGGCAGGTGGATCACTAGGTCAAGAGATTGAGACCGTCCATGTCAACATGGTGAAACCCCGTCTCTACTGAAAATACAAAAAAATTAGCTGGGCATGGTGGCGTACGCCTGTAGTCCTAGCTACTCAGGAGGCTGAGGCAGGAGAATTGCTTGAACCCAGGAGGTGGAGGTTTCAGTAAGCCGAGATCGTGCCATTGCACTCCAGCCTGGGTAACAAGAGCAAAACTCTGTCTCAAAAAAAATAAAAAAATTATCCAGGCATGGTGGCGGGCACCTGTAATCCCAGCTACTTGGGAGGCTGAAGCAGGTGAATTGCTTGAACCTGGGAGGCAGAGGTTACAGTGAGCTAAGATCATGCCATTGCACTCCAGCCTGAGTGACAGAATGAGACTCTGTCTCAAAATAAATAAATAAATAAATAAGCTGTTCACTACTGGTTAACTACTAGGCCTTATCACTGTGGACCATCAACAACCTGAGGGCAAAGCCCAAGTCGTTCTTCCTTCTCATCGCACCTTACCTGCCCATAACGCGGAAAAAGTAAAGGTAAGTTAGCTAAACATATAACCTTCCAAGTGTGTCAAAAGTCCTTCAGATCCAAAGAGCTAGAAAGTAGGTTAGTTATTACCTAGGGCTGAGGAGGGCCGGGGATGAGAACTGACTGCTAATGAGTACAGGGTTTTTGGGGGAGATAATAAAAATGTTCTAAACTTAGATTGCGGTAAGGGCTGCACAATCCTCTAATTATATTAAAAACACTGAACTGTACACTTTCAATGGGTGAATTTTTATGGTATGTGACTTATATCTCAGATATATAAATATTTTTTAATTTAATTTTTTTTTTTAATTTTGAGATGGAGTCTTGTTCTGTCGCCCAGGCTAGAGTGCAGTGGTGCGATCTCGGCTCACTGCAGCCTCTGCCTCCCGGGTTCAAGCGATTCTTAGGCCTCAGCCTCCTGAGTAGCTGGGACTAAAGCCGTGCATTACCACACCCAGCTAATTTTTTTGATTTTTGATAGAGACAGGGTCTTGCTATATTGCCCAGGCTAATCTTGAACCCCTGGCCTCAATCGAACCACCTGCCTTGGCCTCTAAAACTGCTGGGATTACAGGTATGAGCCATTGTGCTCAGCTCTCAAATCTTTTTTTTTTTTTTTTTGGTGGAGGGTTGGAATCTCTCTCTCTCTGCTTCCCAGGCTGGAGTGCAGTGGCATGATCTCAGCTCACTACAACCTCCACCTCCCAGGTCCAGCCATTCTCCTGCCTCAGCCACCAGAGTAACTGGGATTACAGGCGAGTGCCACCATGCCCAGCTAATTTTTGTTATTTTTAGTAGAGATGGGGTTTCACCATGTTGGCAAGGCTGGTTTTGTACTCCTGACCTTAAGTGATCTGCCCACCTTGGCCTCCCATAGTGCTGGGATTATAGGCATGAGCCACATCCCTGGGCCAAATTTCTTTTTTTTTTTTTTTCCAGACAGAATTTTACTCTTGTTGCCCAGCTGGACTGCAATGGTGTGATCTCAGCTCACTGCAACCTCCAACTCCTAGGTTCAAGTGATTCTTCTGCCTCAGCCTCCCAAGTAGCTGGGATTACCAGTGCGTGCCACCATGCTGAGCTAATTTTTTTTTTTTTTTTTTTTTTTGTATTTTTAGTAGAGATGGGGTTTCACCATGTTGGCCAGGATGGTCTCAATCTTCTGATTTCATGATCTGCCCGCCTCCAGCCTCCCAAAGTGCTGGGATTATAGGTGAGAGCCCCTGTGCCCAGCCCAGTTTTTTTTTTTAAGTCCTTCAGATACCAGGGGAATTGGATTTGGGGACTACTGTTATCTAGGGATTTCAATTCTTGTTTCTGGACCCCATACTATCTGATTTACATAATAAACACTCATGGCCAGGTGAGGTGGCTCACACCTGTAATTCCAACACTTGAGGTGGCCAAAGAATGAGGATTGTTTGAGGTCAGGAGTTCAAAAACAGCCTGGGCAACATAGTGAGACCCTATCTCTAGAAAAAAAATATATATATACCAGGTGTGGTGGCTCACACCTATAATCCCAGCACTTTGGGAAGCTGAGGCAGGCAGATCACTTGAGGTCAGGAGTTTGAGACCAGCCTGGCCAACATGGTGAAATCCCATCTCTACTGAAAATACAAAAAATTAGCCAGGCATGGTGGCATGTGCCTGTAGTCCCAGCTACTCAGGAGACTGAGGCATGACAATTGCTTGAACCCAGGAGACAGAGGTTGCAGTGAGCTGAGATCATGCCACTGCACTCTAGCCTGGGTGACAGAATGAGATCCTGTTTCTAAAAATAAATAAATATAAGGGCCGGGCGCGGTGGCTCAAGCCTGTAATCCCAGCACTTTGGGAGGCCGAGGCGGGTGGATCACGAGGTCAAGAGATCGAGACCATCCTGGTCAACATGGTGAAACCCCGTCTCTACTAAAAATACAAAAAAATTAGCTGGGCATGGTGGCACGTGCCTGTAATCCCAGCTACTCGGGAGGCTGAGGCAGGAGAATTGCCTGAACCCAGGAGGCGGAGGTTGCGGTGAGCCGAGATCGCGCCATTGCACTCCAGCCTGGGTAACAGGAGCAAAACTCCGTCTCAAAAAAAAAAATAAATAAAATAAATAAATAAATAAATAAATAAATAAAGTAAAAACAAAAGTTTAAAAATTAGCCGGGCATGGTGGTACACACCTGTAGTCCTAGCTACTTGGGAGACTGCATTAAGAATATTCTTTGAGCCCAGGGATGCAGTGATCTATGATTGTGCCACTGCACTCCAGCCTGGGTGATAGAACAAAATCTTGTCTCCAAAAATAATTAAACACTCCAGGTAACCAAATCCCTTGAGCCCTTGAGATTGCCCTCCCACCTGTCATGTGCAAAAGGCCACTTCTGTTCATGTGTCCTATACCTGAGTCCAGGTTTTCAAGAAATGCTCATCTGGTCCTAGGTGTGTGATGGCTGCATCAGGGCAGCTTGGCACCGGACCTCTGGGGTCTTTCCCTGCTAGCCTTTCTTATTTTGTAGACTTCTAGTTCTGTGATTCCGTGCCAAAATAGTGATCCTCTTGACCACCACTGCAGGCCCCCTGCTAAGAGGACAATATTGGAAAGGTATGGGGGATGCATGACAGGGGACCAGAGGATGAACAGTTCTGCCTAGGATTCCCCTCCATTCTCAATCCTTGGGGCAGGAAGTTGGGTTTTCATCTCCTTCACCAGATGCCCCTGTTGCCCCCACCCTAAGAACCGCCTGATACATGGACACAAGACACTCATCCATCTGAGAGATGTTTAATATATCTTAGGTTCAAGGTACAAAACACAAGGCAGGTGCTAACCCCTGGAAAATCACCTGCCACCCAATCAGCCCCTGCTTAGCCAGACGTCCCAGCCCCCAGAGCAATGGAGCAGTGGCCCTGAGACACTGGGTTCCTTTTCTGGGGAATGTTCAGGTGGTGACATGACAGCCCAGAGGCCACTATGTCCCCTTCTCAAAAAACCCAGACCCAAGGATCGGAAAGGTCCAGACTTGGACCTAGAGCAGCAGATCCCAGAATGACCCCAGCTCAGCAGCAGTCTTGAACTGAAGCGTAGCCCAGTCACCCCAGCCTTGGTCTTAGAAAAGGAGGAACCATTACCCCAATACCTGACAGCAAAGGGAAGAGGTTAAAGCAAGAATTGGAAGCAGAGGTTCCCACTGCCCTAAAAAAAAATGGACTATGGGTAGCTGACCCAGCAGGGCAGCAAAGCCCAAGGTTAAGGCCTGCCCCACCTCCCACTCCAGTTCCTCTGAGGGCCAGCCCCTCACGGAGCCTCACTGCCAGGGTACCACTGACCCAGTGCTGGGGAGGGAATGGGGACAGGGAAGGCTGGCATTCACTGAGGAATGACGTCCTAGCTTTCGGAGCAGGAGCAGCTGCCTATAGAGTCTCCAGGAAAACCCACTAGGGAAGGGGGACCAGCAACCCACGTCTCTGGGCCTAGCCCCTAGAAGGCCTGGACTGAATCCAGAGCCAGAGTAGAGGCCTTACTGAAATGGAAGGTGGCAGGGATTAGGAGCAGGGAGGTGGCGAGAAAGGCCCCTGTGAGGACCAGCTCAGGTGACCCCTGTGACCAGCCCCAAGGAAGCCCAATTGCTACTTCAGCCCAGACCCCTCTGGCCTCATGTCAGGTTGCAAGGATTCTACCCATCGCCCAGGGAGCATTTCCCACAGGGATTCTACCACCTGCTCCTCCCCAAGACCCTGGGCTACAGCCGGCTGCCTCTGTTGAACTGGATACACCAGTGGGAGTTAGCGGTGCCTGGGCTGAGATGGGTGTGGTCCTTGTGGCCCATAAGAGGCTGCAGCTCCTGCTGCTGGGGGAGGTCAGCACTGCTCTCACTGTGGGAGCGGCCAGCCTTGGCCAGGCTTGGGGGGAAGGCAAAGCTAGGGCGTGGATCAGAAGGCGGATAGAGAGGGGCCTGGGGCTCTTCAGCGCCCCGTGGATGGAGAGGCAGGCAGGTCAGAGTTGGGGCCTGGTTACAGGGAGGAGATGCTAGGCTCTCCAGGGATGACATGCTCTGGTTCCAGCCTGTCTGCATGTCCACAGGCACAATCTTGGTGGTTTCCGAGGACACATACACTGCCAGGTCCCCTTGCCCACTCTTCCAGGGGAGCTCCTTCTCTGCACAGGTTGGGGAGGGGGGAATGATTCGTGGGCTCGGGCACACCTCAAGGCTTCCTGGGGACAAAGAGTGTACATGAACGCATTACCAATACAGTGGAAAACTCAAGTATAAGCACATTTTCATAAATTCATGTGACAGTTTCCATATGCTATCCATTTGTGTGATTATCTGATGAATGTCTTACTGAGGGGAAGTACCATAGCTGGTTTTGCTCTCCACTGTATCCCCAGCACCTAGCACAGGGCCGGGCACACAGTAGTTGCTCAAGAAATACCTATCGAACAAATGAAAATAAGGAAAGTTGGCCAGGCGCAGTGGCTCACACGTGTAATCCAAGCACTTTGGGAGACCAAGGCAGTGGATTACCTGAGCTTAGGAGTTAGAGACCAGCCTGGCCAACATGGTGAGACCCCATCTCTACTAAAAATACAAAAATTAAGTCAGTTGTGGTGGCACACGCCTGTAATCCTAGCTACTCGGGAGGCTGAGGCAGGATAATCACTTGAACCCAGGAGTTGGAGGTTGCACTCCAGCCTGGGTAAAAGAGTGAGACTTTATCTAAAAAATAAATAAATACAATGAAAATAAAAAGATAGCGAAAGCAGGAGGCAGGAAGGAAGGAAGCCCCATCTCCAGTCCCCTCACCCAACTTGCAGCACGGGTCTCTGAAACAGCTTCCTGACAAAGCCCCATTCCATCCAGCCAGTGAGGGAGAAACACCAGCTGCCAAGGAGGGTAAGAAAGACCTGGAGACTGCAGGCCAAAGGTTTTTCTGCTGGGCATCCTGCCTGAGTACCCACCACAGCCCTTTGGTGGAACAGAGCCCAGGAGTGTGAGCTTATGCAAACCTAACAGCAGGCCAGAGCTTTGCCACAAAGGGATGACGCGGCATAGGGGACTTGAGTTAAGAATCCCAGAACTGCAGGGGCAGGGCTGAATTACAGGAAGTCTGAGGTTCTGAAGGAGGAAAGAGAATCCCTCTGGCCACCAACCACCCCAGCTCTTCAAAGTCAAGCACAGCATATATCTGTTCATTGATAAAGTCCTGAGCAGCCCAATAAGCTTACTTGAATACATGTGTGAAATGTATTGATGCTATGATTAAGTAAAACGGTATCTCTTGAAAGACCTAGAATATTAAAATGTGATAACAACAAAAAGTGTAAAACAAACCTTTGCTATTCACCTTTAGAGGCTGCTAGGGAACTAACTCTTTGGTCTGAAAACTGAAAAAGAATCAAGCATTTCCTGTGTGAACTCTTCCGCAAAGTAACCAAATAATTGATGAGGGGGATGTTTGTTTGTTTGTTTTTGTTTCTTTGTTTGAGACAGAGTCTTGCTCTGTCACCCAGGCTGGAGTGCAGTGGTGTGATCTCGGCTCACTGCAACCTCCATCTTCCAGGTTCAAGCTATTCTCCCGCCTCAGCCTCCAGAGTAGGTGGGATACAGGCACCTGCCCACCACCACGCCCGGCTAATTTCTTTAAAAAATATCTTTAGTAGAGATGGGGTTTCACCATGTTGACCAGGCTGGTCTCAAACTCCTGACCTCAGGTAATCTGCCCACCTTGGCCTCCCAAAGTGCTGGGATTACAGGCATGAGCCACTGCCTGTAGATTTACTGGTTTAAAGGAAATTTAAGAGACAGAGCAACATATTAAATGACACTTTGGGGATGCAATCACCAAAATCCAGACAGAGAAGGACTGCAGGACAAATAAGTGGGTTTCTTCAATAAATACGTTTGTGAAGAGAAAAAAAGGAGGTTTGGGGGAAACCTATATATCAGAGTTTATCAAACTTGACACTTGACATTTTGGGACAGCTACTCTTTGCTGTCGGGGGTTATCTTGTGCATTGTAGGATGTTTAGCAGTATCCCTGGCGTCTACCTACTCAATACAAGGGCATCTTCCCTGACAACCAAAAATGTCTCTGGGCAGTGCCAAGTGTCCCCTGGGAAAGCAAAATCACTCCACCACCATCCCCTTTGAGAATCACTGCTATAGGTTAAAAGGGACATTGAACAAACTTACTGTAAAATATATATATATATATATATATATATATGACAATCAGGGAAATTTGAGCAATGATTTGATATTTGATGACAGATTTTAGACATGGTAATGGCATTGTCGTTATATATATATTTTAAAGAATTTTTTTTTTTTTTTTAAGGGACAGAGTCTTGTTCTGTTGCCCAGGCTGGAATGTAGTGGCGAGATCATAGCTCACTGTTGCCTCAGCCTCCTGGGCTCAAATGACTATAGGCAGGAATCAAGAATTCTTGTCTGAGGCTGGGTGCAGTGGCTTGAGCCCAGGAGGTTGAGGAGGTGCTGAGTCATGATCCCACCATTGCACTCCCACCTGGGTGTCAAAGAGAGATCCTAACTCAGAAAAAAAAAAGAAAATTTCTTACCTGGCTGGGTGTGACTCATCGGTTTGGGAGGCTGAAGATCACTTGTGCACAAGAGTTTAATATTAGCCTGGGCAACATAACAAGACCTCATCTCTACTAGAAAAAAAAAAAGATGGCTGAGCATGATGGTCTGTGCCTGAAGTCCCAGCTACTCTGGAGGCTGAGGCAAAAGGATTGCTTGAGCTTGGGTGTTGAAGGCTGCAGTGAGCTATGATCGCACTACTGCACTCCAGCCTGGGCAACAAAGAGAGACCGTCTCAAAAGAAAAAAAAAAATAAAAGAATCTTTATCTTTTAGAGATATGTACTGAAGTATTTATTGATAAAGTGATATGACATTTTAGACTTGTATCAGAAGAACCCAGTGGAGGGAGAGGCATAGGTGAGGTTTAGGTGAAATGAGATTGGCTATGAGTAGGTAATTATTGAAGCTGGATAATGGATAAATGGGAGTTCATTTTATAGTTTTATCATTGTATATTTTGAAATTTCCTTAGCTACATACCAGCTACCAGAAAAAAAAAGAAAGAAAGAAATTTCCTATGATAAAAAATCTGTAAAAACATTTGAGGGTCCCAGCCACCAGTGATAATGACATTATGAGTGAATTAGGTCTCTATACATACATGGAAATGCTTATATACTGTATTTTTATCCACATTAATTCCGTTTTGATGACTTCAGTCTCCTCCTCCAGGTCAGGCTGCCACTTTCACCTGAAGCTCTACTTGAGGGCATGGGTCTCAACAGAGCCCATGGTTTGCTCACTACTTCCTGTTCCTCACTAGACTATAAAGGGAGGCAGCATGGCCTTGAAAAGGTGTGGGTGGCATGGCGAGTCACACCTGTAATCCCAGCATTTTGGGAGACCAAGGTGGGAAGATTGCTTGAGTCCAGGAGTTTGAGGCCAGCCTGGGTAACAAAGCGAAACCTCATTTCTACAAAAATTTTAAAAATCAGCTGGGTGGGCTGGGCGAGGTGGCTTATGCCTATAATCCCAGCACTTTAGGAGGCCAAGGCAGGTGGATCACCTGAGGTCAGGAGTTCAAGACCAGCCTGAATAGGCTGAATGCAGTGGCTGACACCTGTAATCCCAGGACTTTGGGAGGCCAAGGCAGGTAGATCATGAGGTCGGGAGATCAAGACCATCCTGGCCAACATTATGAAACCCTGTTGCTACTAAAAATACAAAAATTAGCTGGCCATGGTGGTGCATTCCTGTAGTCCCAGCTATTAGGGAGGCTGAGGCAAGAAAATTGTTTGAACCCAGGAGGCAGAGGTTGCAGTGAGCTGAGATCCCACCACTGCACTCCAGCCTGCTGACAGAGCAAGACTGCATCTCAAAAACAAAACAAAACAAAACAAAACAAAAAACAGCCTGATTAACACAGTGAAACTCTGTCTCTACTAAAAATAAAAAAAATTATCTAGGCATGGTAGCAGGCACCTGTAATCCCAGCTACTTGGGAGGCTGAGGCAGGAGAATCATTTGAACCCAGGAGGCAGCAGTTGCAATGAGCTGAGATTGCACCACTGCACTCCAGCCTGGGCAAAAAGAGGAAAACTCTGTTTCAAAAAAAAAAAAAAAAAACCCAAAAAACAAAAAACCCTGGGTGCAGTGGCTCACGCCTGTAATCCCAACACTTTGGGAGGCCAAGGTGGGTGGATCACCTGAGGTCAGGAGTTCGAGACCAGCCTGACCAACATGGAGAAACCCTGTCTCTACTAAAAATACAAAATTAGCTGGGCATGGTCGTGGTGCACTCCTGTAATCCCTGCTACTCCAGAGGCTGAATAAGGAGAATCACTTGAACCCAGGAGGCAGAGGTTGCAGTGAACCGAGATAACACTATTGCACTCCAGCCTGGGCAACAAGAGTGAAACTCCATCTTGGAAAAAAAAAAAAAGAAAAAAAATCAGCTGGGTGTGCTAGTGCACACCTGTAGTCCCTGCTACTAGGGAAGCTGAGCTGGGAGGATCACTTGAGTCCTGGAGATCAAGGCTGCAGTGAGCCATGATCATGCCATTGTGCAATTCGTGATCCAGCCTGGGTGACGGAGTGAGATCCTGTCTCAAAAAAAAAAAAAAAAAAAAAAAAAAAAAAAAAAAAAAAAAAAAAATTATAGCAATGCAAGAATGGCATCAAAGAAAATAAAAAAAAGAAAAGGCTAAGTGTGGTGACTCACACCTGTAATCCCAGCACTTTGGGAGGCCAAAGCAGATGGATCACCTGGGGTCAGGAGTTCGAGACCAGGTGTGATGGTGCACGTCTGAAATCCCAGCTACTTGGGAGACTGAGGCAGAATTGCTTGAACCCGGGAGGCAGAGGTTGCAGTAAGCCAAGATCACACCACTGTACTCCAGCCTGGGCAACAAGAACAAAACTCTGTCTAAAATAAAATAATATTTAAAAAGGCTCTGGGCTTTGGAGTCAGATGGGTCAGGTTCAAATTCTGGTTCTACTATGTGATGCTTGACAAGTCACGAGTCCCTTAGGCTGTCTGAGCTCAATTTCCCCATCTTGGTTGTTGTGAGGGTTGAGTATCATTTATGTCAGGCATCTGATATGAAGAAGATGCTCTGCAAATGCTGGCTGGTGCATAAACTGGTGAATAGAAAAAGGGAGTTGTCTAGAGTAGAGGCCATGAGTGAAAAGAAAGGAAATCAGCTTGCTCCAGAGGGAAGTGGGACAGGGAGGAAGCCATTACCTGAGACCTTGCCCTCTTGGAGAACCTCACTGGTGGCCCGAGCCACAAAGATGATGCCCTCATCGTCCTCCTTCTCTGTCTCTGAACTGTCGCTCTCCTCCTCCTCCTCCTCAGACTCCATGGTTAATATCACAGCAGCTGGACAGAGACGAGCAAAGTCAGGCGGCCTGGGCTGGCAGCTGCCTCTTGGGACTGCACAGCCCCAAGCCAGCTCCGTCTCCCTAGGCAGTACACACATTGGCAGAGACACCTACTTTCTCCTCTGGCTTTTTCAAGCACTGGCCTAGGAGGTGGTGACTTGGGAGAAAGAGAAGTGACACTGCAGAGCCCAAGGAGGCAACCAGAGGAACCTAAGTCCACAGAGGAAGCCATGAGGACCACACTTTCCATCTTCCCCATCCTTTTTTTTCCATCCCCAAATCCCATGATCCACTGGAAACATAAGCACTTGGATTGCTGGAAGTCCCATTAACATTCAGATCATACAAAACTGGCTTTGTAGCCAGGTGCAGTAGCTCACGCCTGTAATCCCAACACTTTGGGAGGCTGAGGCGGGTGGATCACCTGAGGTCAGGCATCCAAGACCAGCCAGGCCAACAAGGTGAAACCCTGTTTCTACCAAAAACACAAAAAAATTAGCCAGGCATGGTGGCATGCGCCTGTAATCCCGCCTACTTGGGAGGCTGAGGTAGGAGAATCATTTGAACCTGGGAGGCAGAGGTTGCAGTGAGCTGAGATAGCACCACTGCACTCCAGCCTGGGCACCGGAGTAAGACTCCATCTCAAAAAAACAAAACAGAACTGGCTTTGCAGACAGTATACTGGGCCCCAGGGCCCATCCATCCTCCAAGGCCCAGACCAAACTCCCCCTTCTCCATGACACCTTTTCCAAGTCCTTGGGGCCTGTAACCCTTAGTTAACAATCAGATGCCTCCTGTCATGCATTGTCTAATAACTGCTTTGAACATTTCCAAGTTGGAAATCAAGTCCCTGGGGGAAGAGCCCCAGTTCATGGTGCTTAAAATGCACCCTAGAGCAGGTCCTCCAGGATTCTGGGTGGTGAGCCCCAGTCCTTTCCCTCCTTCCTCCCATCTTCAATCCCACCCTACTCCCTGCTTGCCTGTGTCCTGAAAGCCCAGGTCTCGAGGTTTCCCATTTGTAGCCTCAGCATTCGCCACACCATCCTTCTAAGGACCAAGAAAGAAAACCTGAGCCTCTGGCCCCTGCTCCCCACCCCAACCCTGTCATTTGGTGGGGTCAACAGGAGGACAAGTTTTCCCAACCCAGCACGGGAGGAAATTTGCATCAGTCCCACTGGTTCTACAACCTTTGGCCAACCAGGCAGGAATTGTAGGGTCTGAGTGAACAATGCCCCAAAAAGAAATCTGGATGCATCAGCCTGGGCTGACTTAGGGGCTCATGGAGTTGCCCCTCAAAGGAATCTCCTTTTCTCCTGCCTTTTTCATTTTTGGTAGGAGCTCCTGCTGCCTCCCAGCAGGTGGCCACTTGGCCAAGAGGCTGCTCCCCCTCTGAAGGTCTCACCTTAACCCTCTGGGGCTCTAAGAACATCTAAAAGGGAACCCAAACTGCTACAGTCATCAAGTGCCTAAGGACTATCCAAATGGGGGTTCCCCTCAGCTGGATCCTAACACTTGGGGGCTCAAAACTGCATGCTATCAGCCTCCAGCTCCAAAGAGGAGTCCCTAAGAGAAGACATGCCTTCCTGCGGCCAGTCTTGCGGGGTCGTGTCTTGCTCTTGGTGAAGCAGATGTTGTGCTTGGTGGATTTAAAGGACTCCAGCCGCCGCTTCATGTTCTGCTGGAAGACCTCCTTGTCCTGCCGCTCCTGCGCATCCTCTGAGATGAAGTGGCGACTGCAGCTGGCTTTGTACTGGCAATGACAGCCCCACCTCGCTATGAGGCCAGATGCCTTGGCCTCCCACAGGAACCCCAGGCCACAGCCCCAACATATTCAACACAGGTCCTGCCAGCCCAGCTTTTCCAGAATTAACAATGGATTGAAAAACAAAACAAAACAAAATACAAGAGGAACCCAGCCAGAGACTCTGTGTACTCAGTTCCCTGGGAGAAGCTTCCCTTTATACCAGAACTTATTCCCCCCAAACCTGGCCTTCTCCATCCCTTGCCATCCTTTCCCAATTCTCTCTGATTTGAAGGTGACCCTCTGTCTTGTTCCGGTACTATTGACAACATGGGGAACATTTTCTTTTTTCTACTTCCATTGATCTGAGCTTTGCTACCTCCACTGATCTGAGCTTTGCCCACATGCCCAGCCTCCCTGCTCCCTTCTGGCTACACAGGATCCTTTCTCCAGCTGGATTCTCCCATCTAGCCATTTCTACAACCACCACCATGATATCCTGTGCTGCACTTTGAACTTTCGTTAACTGTCTCCCCTGACACCCTGGACCTTCTCAGTCCCAATAATTTAGGCTCACCCCTATCATCTGCTCTTTTTTTTTTTTGAGAGAGAGAGTTCTGCTGTTGTCACCCAAGCTGGAGTGCAGTGGCACAACCTCTGCCTCCGGGGTTCAAGCAATTCTCCTGCCTCAGTCTCCCAAGTAGCTGGGATTACAGGCACCTGCCATCACACCCAGCTAATTCTTGTATTTTTAGTAGAGATAGGGTTTCACCATATTGCCAGGCTGGTCTTGAACTCCTGACCTCAGGTGATCTGCCCACCTTGGCCTTCCAAAGTCCTGGGATTATAGGCATGAGCCACTGTACCTGGCTATGCTCTTTTTAACTCTCATAAAGAGCCGGGCGTGGTGGCTCAAGCCTGTAATCCCAGCACTTTGGGAGGCCGAGGTGGGTGGATCACGAGGTCGAGAGATCGAGACCATCCTGGTCAACATGGTGAAACCCCGTCTCTACTAAAAATACAAAAAACTAGCTGGGCGTGGTGGCGCATGCCTGTAATCCCCGCTACTTAGGAGGCTGAGACAGGAGAATTGCCTGAGCCCAGGAGGCGGAGGTTGCGGTGAGCCGAGATCGCGCCATTGCACTCCAGCCTGGGTAACAAGAGCGAAACTCCGTCTCAAAAAAAAAAAAAAAAAAAAAAAACTCTCATAAAGACCAGGCCCACTACACACTCACCTAGACTGCCTCTACCTCTACCCTCCCTGCGTAGCTCCTTTTCATCATCTAGTGGTAATCCCCTGAAATACTGCCCAGCACCTGCCAGATAATCTTATTTTGCCTCACATCCCAAGTCTGGTCCCTTTATCTCATATTTTCTGCTTCCCTGAACCAGTTCTAAGAGCCCTCTTCAAGTCTTCCATCTGCCCTCCTCCTCTACCTATGCACCAGGAGGCACCCTCTCTCCTGGTATGAAGGAGTCCATCTCCTTCACAAGGCTCATTGCTGCCCAGCCCTGGCCTCCACATGGTTCAGTTTCCCCCTTTCTGCCTCCAGAAGTTCCTGCTGCCTCCTATTTCTCCACTCTCCTGTATCTTCACCCCTTCCCTCACCATTTGGCTCCCTCCTCTCAGTTTTCAAGCTCCTGCCCTTGCCTCATTAAAGAAAGTCTCCCTATGAACACTGTTGTCTCCCTTTCGCTGCCACAGTTTTATAATTTGATTCTGACACTTTCTCTCCTACTCACCACTTCCTTAAATACCAGAAATGCAACCCCGGGGTCCACAGCTCCACAGTGCTGCCTTCTCGCTGGTCACCAGTGTGGTGGGCTCTGCCTCTGCACAGCATCTAGCCCTCTTTCTGCCCCAGGCCTGAGACACCACCTGCCACTGCTTCTCCAAGGGTTCCTTGTCTTTGGCTCTCCTTCCTTTTCTCCCATGTGCATTCCTCAGTGTTATCTTTAGCCCTCCTCTCTCCCCAGTAAACACTCTCCCCAGAGAACTTACTCATTCTGTCCGCCCCAGCTATCCCAGTGATATAGACCTGTGGTTCTTGAATATCAGTCATCAGACCAGCTGCATTTGAATAACCTGGGCAACTTAGTAAGAACACAGATTCAGTCAGGCTTAGTGGTTCACACCTGTAATCCCAACACTTTGGGAGGCAGAGGCAGACAGATCACCTGAGGTCAGGAGTTCAAGACCAGCCTGACCAACATAGAGAAACTGTCTCTACTAAAAAAACAAAATTAGCTGGGCGTAGCGGTGCATGCCTGTAATCTCAGCTACTCAGGAGGCTGAGGCAGAAGAATCTCTTGAACCTGGGAGACGGAGGATGCAGTGAGCAGAAATTGCGCCATTGCACTCCAGCCTGGGCAACAAGAGGGAAACTCCATCTCAAAAAAAAAAAAAAAAGAACACAGATTCTTAGTTCCACTCCAAACTGCAGAATCAGAATCTTCAGGTTAAGCCAGGAAGTTCCCAATGGGATTCTGTGGTAGCCAAGTAACAAAACCTGATATGGATTGCTTCCAAATCTCTCTCCAGCCCTTATCTATTAAACTATAATCTTATCTTTCTTTTTTTTTTTTTTTTTTTTTTTTTGAGACGGAGTTTCACTCTTGTTACCCAGGCTGGAGTGCAATGGCGCGATCTCGGCTCACCGCAACCTCCGCCTCCTGGGCTCAGGCAATTCTCCTGCCTCAGCCTCCTAAGTAGCTGGGATTACAGGCACACGCCACCATGCCCAGCTAATTTTTTGCACCTTTAGTAGAGACGGGGTTTCACCATGTTGACCAGGATGGTCTCGATCTCTCGACCTCGTGATCCACCCGCCTCGGCCTCCCAAAGTGCTGGGATTACAGGCTTGAGCCACCGCGCCCGGCCTAATCTTATCTTTCTAACTGCATACTAGATATCTCTGTCTCCCTCTAATGATATTTCTATGGAGAACATGATAAATTGTGGATTGTGTTATTATACTAAGTGGATTCAGAACTGGTTACGTTACCATACCCCAAAAATGCTTGATCCATGTCAGACTGGAGGAAAGTCTTTAGTAGCATGCCACAGGGCTCTGCCCTCAGCTCTATCCTGTTCAACATGTTTATGTTGATTTGGATGAATACAAAGTTAACAGGCTTAACAAATTTTCAGATGATATAAATCTAAGAAGAAGACATTTGGTGGCAGACATGGGAACCAAACAATAGGATGATGGACTAAAGCAAATAAGATGACATTTAACAGGATATACACAAACTATTCCAGATTTTTAAAAAACAGACTGAACTGATTGGACTGAACCCACTGACCAATCTTAGACATACACCACACACACACACACACCCCCTCCAAATCATTATGTATTTCCTGATGTGTCACCACAGAAAATATATAGCATAGCTATTGAATGTCCCTGAATCTGATCAGGCCTCTAGATTTAACAACCAGGAAATACAGGGAATGGAGGAACATGTTAAACAACACCACTGGGATACAGTCAGCAAAATCTAGAAAGTGTGCAATTCTCCAAGACAAAGTATCCAGTTTCTTCAATAAATGAATAGTAAGGGAGATAAAGAGGGGAGAAAGAACTATTATAGTTTTTTTTTTTAATGAAGAGACATATTTCCCAAATGCTGAATGTGGACTTAATTTGGATCCTGATTTGAGCATCCAGCTGGAAAAAAAGATATTTATTGAATACTGACTGGATGTAAGAGTTCTTGCCAGGGCCGGGCACGGTGGCTCAAGCCTGTAATCCCAGCACTTTGGGAGGCCGAGGTGGGTGGATCACAAGGTCGAGAGATCGAGACCATCCTGGTCAACATGGTGAAACCCCGTCTCTACTAAAAATACAAAAAATTAGCTGGGCATGGTGGCGCTTGCCTGTAATTCCAGCTACTCAGGAGGCTGAGGCAGGAGAATTGCTTGAACCCAGGAGGCGGAGGTTGCGGTGAGCCGAGATCGTGCCATTGCACTCCAGCCTGGGTAACAAGAGCAAAACTCCGTCTCAAAAAAAAAAAAAAAAAAAGAGTTCTTGCCACTTAGAGAGACATACTGAAATATTTTGAGATGATGTGATATGATGTTTGGAGTTTTTTTTAAGATAAAGTGTGGGCGGGATGTGGTAGGGCTATAGAATGTAATAGAATTAATCATGCACTGATTTTTCAGAGCTGGTTGATAGATAAATATGAGTTATTTTATTCTCTCTACTGGAATTTTGAATAAGAAAAAGGTTTTTTAAAAACTCCACAGGTTGGGATGAGACAGGTTCTGACAGCCATTAACTGAGGAGACCTGGGAGTTTAGCAGATTCTAAGGACAATGTGGGGTCCTAGGGTGGTAAGTCAAGGCTGGAGGGATCTTGGGCTGTGGGAAGAGAAATAGCAAGTTCTAGAACTAGAATGGTAAGAGAGATTCTAGGCCCTTCCCTGGCCAGCCACAGCTAGAGTAGCAACTTCCATTCTGGGCCCTGTTTTTTAAGTCCAGAGAAGACACACCAGGAGGCAAGAGATGTTGGCCTGAAGGCAAGAGAGCCTAGTGTAAAATGGAACTGTCTTGAAACCTTGGAAGATTTATTCTGCAGAGCTGCAGAGTCAAATCAGGACCAGTGGGTGCAAGTTAAAGGAGGCCAATTCTGTTTCCACAGTAGGAAGAGCTTTGACTGTTAAAACTGCCAGAACTGGTGATGTCTGGCTTCCCATTTTAGAAAGGTGCAAGGTAATGGCTTGCTGCCCTCTTGTGGGGTTGCAACAGATTCTCTCCTGGATGGGCTTGGCCTTTCCAGCCGAAAAGCTTCATGATCTGCATTGGACTAACTTCCATTATTTAAAACAGATGCCCACCTTCCACAGGCTAAGCTGATCTAGGAGACTTCCTCAGTGCTCCTGCTTCTGTCTGTGACCCCATCATTCTCCAGTGACCCTCAAGGCCCCCAGTACTCTGTCTCCTCTCCCCATCAAAGCCAATCACACCACCTGGCCCTAATCCATGACATTTCACTCCAGCTTCCCAACTGGCTTTCCAAGCTTCTCAATTCACCCCCTCCAATTTGATCTGCATTCTGCTACCAGAGAAGGTATTCTTTTTTTTTTTTTTTTTTTTTTTGAGACAGAGTTTCGCTCTTGTTAACCCAGGCTGGAGTGCAATGGCACGATCTCGGCTCACCGCAACCTCCGCCTCCTGGGTTCAGGCAATTCTCCTGCCTCAGCCTCCTGAGTAGCTGGGATTACAGGCACACGCCACCATGCCCAGCTAATTTTTTGTATTTTTAGTAGAGACGGGGTTTCACCATGTTGACCAGGCTGGTCTCAATCTCTTGACCTCGTGATCCACCCGCCTCGGCCTCCCAAAGTGCTGGGATTACAGGCTTGAGCCACCGCGCCCGGCCGAGAAGGTATTCTTAAATGTGCTTGTATTAGGCTAACCCTTTCTCCAAAAAATAAAAATAAAGGAGAGGTTTTTTGTTACTGATGAAACCCACACCCTTTTTTTTTTTTTTTTGACTTGGAGTCTCACTCTGTCACCCAGGCTGGAGTACAGTGGTGTGACCTCAGCTCACTGCAACCTCTGCCTCCTGGATTCAAGCAATTCTCCTCCCAAGTAGCTGGGATTACAGGCACGTGCCACCGTACCCAGCTAATTTTTTATGGTGTTTCACTTTCACTACGTTGGCCAGGCTGATCTCAACCTCCTGACCTCAAGTGATTCCCCCCTCCTTGGCCTCCCAAAGTGCTGAGATTACAGGCGTGAGCCACTGCACCCAGCTGAAACCCACACTCTTTAGCTGGGCATCTGCAGCTCTCTAACAAGCTGGTGCCAACTGCCTCTTAAGCTCTCCCTAGACCACCTCCACCCCCTCAAAATTCTGATGCCTGCCTGCTCTCACCCTACGGCGTGGCTTGTAGAGGCCTCCGCAGAGCAGATGATGCATCACAGCATCCTCGCGATCCCGGCCGCTGCGTACCGTGTCAATCACCTGAAGATCCAGACACGCTCCACTGCCACTCTCCCTCCTGCAGGAGACAGGGGACACATGTGCTGGGGAGGAGGCAGGAGGCATAGGCCAGAAGAAGTGCAGATACAAAGGTGCTGACAAATCTCCCCCAGAAGGGATTCAGAGAGAGGGCCCAATGGAGATGAGTATGAGGAAGGGGAAAGGGCTCAAGGACTCACAGCAGGTTGGTGACAGAAGTTTCTGCCACGGAATTGCGGCTGGGCATAGAGGGCAGAGTGAGACCTGTGGAAGACAAGATGTGGCCTCCCTGGAGGCGTCAAGACCAAGGTTAGCCAGCAATCAGATGGAAGGTGGCCCAGGAGTCAGGGGCAATAAAGGAAATAATAATAACGAACACTTAGTTTACTCTTTTGACATGCCAGGTACTGTGCTAGGCACTTTACATATTGAATCCACAAATTCTGTGGCATAGGTACTCTTATGCCTACTTTCTATTTTTATTTTTTTATTTATTTAGAGATGGAGTCTCGCACTGCAGCCCAGGCTGTAGTGCAGTGGCAAGATCTCGGCTGACTGCAATCTCCGCCTCCTGGGTTCAAGCAATTCTCCTGCCTCAGCCTCCCAAATAGCTGGGACTACAGGTGTGCACCACCATGCCCAGCTAATTTTTTTGTATTTTCAGTAGAGATGGGGTTTCACCATGTTGGCCCAGTTGGTCTTGATCTCCTGATCTCATGATCTGCCCGCCTCAGCCTCCCAAAGTGCTGGGATTACAGGTGTAAGCCACCACGCCTGGCCTATTTATTTATTTTTTATATCTGAGAGTCTCACTCTGTCGCCCAGGCTGGAGTGCAGTGGCATGATCTCAGCTCACTGCAACCTCTGCTTTCCAGATTTAAGCGATTCTCCTGCCTCAGCCTCCAGAGTAGCTGGGATTACAGGTGTACATCACCACGCCTGGCTAGTTTTTGTATTTTCAGTAGAGACAGGGTTTCACCATATTGGTCAGGCTGGTCTCAAACTCCTGACCTCAAGTGATCTACCCACCTTGGGCTCCCAAAGTGCTGGAATCACAGGAATGAGCCATCATGCCCAGCCTCTTATGCCTGCTTTCTTACAGCTAAGGAAACAGGCTCAGAGAGTGTGACGTACCCAAGGTCACAAATTTGGAAGTGATAACAGTTGAACCACATCTGCTAACTCCAGAATCCAGCTGTTTCCCACCTCTCTGGACTGCCTGCCAGACTCTGAATGTCAGCACCAGGCCCAGCTGCTTCCTGCAGCTAGCTGCCACTTAACCAGACCATGGAACCAGCTAGGAATTCCTAGCTCCCTTCAGGCCTGGCTGCTTGCCACCCCTTTCTGTCCTGCTCTGCTGCCCACCTGCCCACCCACCACCAGCCCACCTGGTAGCTGCTAACCCACCTGGTCCACAAAGCTGATGGCATCCCGGATGTTAAGTCTGTAGTACACATCCCAGATCTGGTCCCGGATGCGGTAGGCTGACCGTCGCATCAGCAGCTGACTCAGGTATTTCTTGTCAAACTGCTCCCACCTACAGAGGATGCCAGGCCCGGCCCTGAGTCCCATTCCCAAGGCCTGGCCATGAGGCCCTTCCTCAGTTGGGGCAAGGACACCATCAGTACTGGCTTGGCTTTTTAGATGTGGGCCTCAGCGAGGGAGAATCTCAAGGCTAGTCCCTGCCCTCATGGAATTTATAGTGTCATGGGAAAGGCTAACCGTAATTGAAATTATTCCAAATCACTATAAAATTGCAACCATGACAAGAACTACAAAGGATAATTGGAGAATATGACACAGATATGTCCTAGTCAGGGAGGCCAGGGAAGGCCTCCCTAAGGAATTGAAACCTACAGTGAGTTGTGAAGGATGAATTGAGGTTGAGTAAGTGAGAGGGAGGTGAGGGAGTGTTCTAGTAGAGAGAGGGTCCCAGTGGCCAGGCTGGGGAAGCATCGTGGGTCCTCAGGCTCTAAGGTAGGGTCCATGGAATTAGCAGGCAGACAGTGAAAGACAGAGCAGAGCATGATGAGGCTAGAGTGGCAGTTGCCAGACCATGCAGGGCCAAGCAGGCCACACTGGGGAACCTTGTCTTAACCTGATAGCCCTGGGATGCCACTGAAGGGCTTCAGGCAGAGGTCACACAGCCTGAACCTGGCTCTGTCCCTTCTCAGAAGTGTGGCACATCCCCCATGCTTCCCTGGCTGGTGGAGCTGCTGCTGCTGAAGGAGCCTCGGGGCAGCTCCCTCACCTGTCCCTCCAGTAGTGGTAGCCATGGTGCCCCACAACGTCCTCCACTGCAGCCAGAATGTGGTCAAAAGTCTAGAAGTGGGGGTGGGTAGGGGGACTGGATCAGGACTTTGCCCAAAATAGGAGATGGTCGAGAGGGACAGGTGAGGGCTGGGGTTCTGGTACCCACATGCTCATGCAGCTCCTGGTTCAGGGTAGGTTTGTGATGCTCACTCCTCTTCACCTTCAGCCATTTGACCAGTGGCTTGATGGTCAAGCCCTATGGACAGGCAGGAGGTGAGTCCTGCCCTATTCTTATTCAGTTCCCTGCTTCCTTTCTCTCCCGCTAATGAGGCCTCAGCTTTGGTACCCCCACCCCACTGCACTCAAGATCTGGGAAGTCAAGGCCCTCCATCTCTCAGCGGGAAGAGGAGCCCCTGTCCCATAGGCTCCAAGATTCCCCAAGGGCCTGACCGACCCTCTCCCTACCCAGCCTTGTGGGCACTCCCACCTGCACGATGACTGTGAAGAAGACCACCACAATAGTGGTGGCTACAAAGTAGTCCTTGGCAGGGACCTTGGTCCTATCCAGTAGGATGACGAGAGCAAAGGCCACAGCCCCCCGCAGGCCCCCATAAGACATCACCACTTGGTCAATCTTGTCCAGAGGGACTAGCCGGAACTGATTCAGCACCCAGGTCTGCAGGACTACGCCTGCAGCGGGAGGGAGGCCAGTGGGAGCAAAGTGTTGGGAGTGGAGGACATAGGAGTGGATATCACCAAGTATCTGGGCTGAGGTCTAACAGGGGCTGGGACAGGTGAGCAACAAGAGGAGGCTTAGGAATTGACAAGGATGTGGACTCAGATGGGGAGATGAACTGCAGGCAGGGGCGGGACAGGAAGAAGAGTGGGGAAGCAGAGGGTGTCAGCAATACCGAGGGCTCGGAAGAACAGGATGAAGATGAGGGTGCCCAGCACCAGCCCAGAATCCCAGGCCCACTTAGAAGAGTCCACAGCTGAGATGCCAAGCAGCATGAAGATGACAGTCTCAGCACAGCTGGCTAGAGTCTTCATGGTATATTTGACAGTCGTGCGTGACTTATGGGAGATGTTGGCCTCCACGTACTTCTTACAGCCCAGGCCACACATGGTCACCCTGGGAGAGGATAGAGAGACAGGGAAAGTGGGGAAGGGTTCCAGGGGGGCTCAGCTTCTGTGGTTTGAGCATACTGCAGGAGGGGGCATTGCCCATCACAGGATGTCAGACTCTCAGAGCTGAAGCCCGGGGAGGCCTGAAGACTGAATGGTAGTGCTGGGCTTCAAGTCCAGATCTCCAGGCTTCTTACTCCATATCTCCTGGAGGGGAAGGTGGGAGGAACATGCTCTGACTAGCAGGTTCTCTGATGCAGCTTCTGAAGTGCTATGGCCTCAGAGCTGGTGGCCCCAGGCCTTAAAGTTTACTTCCAGCCCATCCTACATCCAGAGGGTTTTAGGGTGCTGAGGACAGTTCTGGAGGCAGCTCCTGGAATATTACCTGAGGTTTACTATCTTCCCAGGAGAGTTTGAGGCTCCCACTACCACAAAGGGTCAGGGAAACCTAAGGACTCCTGAAGTTCCTGCCTATGTCCCTATGAGGGACAATCATCTCCAGTGCCCCCTCCCAGCTTGCCTGCAAGGTTCCGAGAACTCACGCAAGAATGGCGGAGAGCGAGGCCATTTCAGCAGTGAGGTAGGCTGCATAGGCGAGGAGGAAGACCAGCAGCGGCTCGATGATGCGGACCCGCTTGGTGAAGCGTGTGGTCAGGGCCAGGAGGAAGGCAAAGACTAAGCCCACGGCTGCCCCGCCCAGACTGACCACAAACAGGGAGGCTGGGGGAGGAGTGGGTTGTCAGCATGACCCCTGGCCTGGGCCCTACCCTGGCAGGGAGTGAGGGATGATGCCCACCACACTCCCAGGGCCTCAAAATCCCAGAGCCAGGATCCCTGGCAAGCCCCTCCCAGACCCCTTTCTCTATAGAGGAGGGGAGGAGATGAGGTAACCCGAATAGCCTCCTCTGTGCTGATGTGGGGTGGGAGGGCCTCAGCAACCCAGGGGAGGCAGACTTCCAATGCCAACTGGGAGCAGGGAAATACTGACCGACTCCCTTCAGGTAGTCAGTGGCCTGCACGTTGGCAGAACCCATCTCCACAAAGGAGTTGCAGACCTTGTACAGCACCTGAGTGAGAAGAGGAGAGTCAGCAGCAAGGCAGGAAGGCAGCAACTGGGACTGCTGGGAGACAGTGAAAGCAGACAGCATATATCTGCCCCAGGGAACCCATGGGAAGGGTCCGAGTCTATGCAGACGCCCAGTTGGTCAGAACATGCAGCCTGGGGTCAGGGAATGGCAGCCAGCTGAGCATGCTCACCACGGTGACTGCATCGTTGAGCAGGGACTCGCCAAAGACGATGATGAAGAGAGTCTCATTGACGTGCACCTCCTCAAAGACAGCTAGCACTGCCACGGGGTCCACCGCCGAGATGAGGCTCCCAAACAGCAGGAAGTCCAGTAAGCCAGCCTGCACCCTAGGGGCTATTGATGGACAGGTGTAGGACAGTCCAGTCACTGAGGACAACCCAGTGTCCTGCAGCATGCCCTTTAACAAGCCCAGGCTCCACCCCCTCTGATACAATGAGGAAGCCCAACGAGGACTTGGGATGGCAAAGACAGCATTGGCCTGCAGATCAGGAGAGTTCAGACAAGCTACCTATGCCTAAGACCTGGCTTTGCCAATTACCAACTGTGTGATGCTGGTTCTGTCACTGTCATATGACCTACCTTAGCCATGCCTCCTCATCTGCCTGCCTCACAAGATTGTTTCAAAACTCAACCCAGCCATTTAGAATAAAGCAAAAGGCCAGGTGCACCCCAGCACTTTGGGAGGCCAAGGCAGGCTGGATCACCTGAGGTCAGGAGTTCGAGATGAGCATGGCCAACATAGTGAAACCCTATCTCTACTAAAAATACAAAAAGTAGCTGGGTGCGGTGGTGTGTGCATGTAATCCCAGCTACTTGGGAGGCTAAGGCAGGAGAATTGCTTGAACCAGGGAGGTAGAGGTTGCAGTGAGCTGAGGTCGTGCCACTGCACTCCAGCCTGAGTGATAGAGTGAGACTCAGTCTCAAAAAAGATAAATAAATAAAATAGAATTAGCAAAAAAACACTGTAGCAGCAGTACTAATAACTACTAGCAAATGGAAATTGGCTGCTAACTGGATTTTTGTTAGGGAGAATAATGAAGGAGTGCTTTCTCCCATACCTGTGGTTCCCAGCCAAAGGGATGTAACACAGTTCTCAGCAGGGGTGGAGGACTGAATAAAGTAAAAAAAGCACCTCAGGTGGGACTAGAACATGTCATATAAATTCTATGAGCCCCAGTTTCCCCATGTCTAAACTGAGACTGATAACAATATCTACCTCAGAAAGTTCCTTATTTAGCCAATGCCTAACACAGTAAACACCCAAAAGATATTATTATCTATTAGGATTACTACTGTTATTATGACCTGATGTACTCCCTTCCCTTCCAGCCCTAAATAGTGCACTACCTCAATAGGGAAACCAGGTGAGAGTCCTAGATAGCAATTGTAAACATCTTCTTGTAATACTTTGGAAAAAGTATGAATCATCAGCCTTCAGGGTTGAATGAATTTCTTGGATTAGGAAATAAAGAATGAGGTAACAAGAGAGGGCAACCTAAAGGCAAAGAGCCTCAGTAAAACAAAACTGAGGTCGGGCAGAGTGGCTCATGCCTCTAATCCTACCTAGTACTTTGAGAGGCTGAGGTGGGCAGATCACCTGAGGTCAGGAGTTCAAGACCAGCCTGGCCAACATGGTGATACCCCATCTCTACTGAAAATACAAAAATTAGTGAGACATGTGGGCACATGCTGGTAATCCCAGCTACTTGGGAGGCTAAGACAGGAGAATCGCTTGTCCAGGAGGTGGAGGTTGCAGTAAGCAGAGATCATGACATTCCACTCCAGCCTGAGCAAGAGTGAGACTCAATCTCAAAAAAACAAACAACAATAAAACCTTCTTCTTCTGCTAACCTTGGACCTAAAAGCAAACAAAAAAAGGGGTTCTATTTCCTCATACATTAAATGTGACAAACTATACCTCAAAAGTGTTGCTATGAAGAGTCAATGAGATAAGTAAGAAGAGAAAACCCAGTGTAGTGCCAGCATTTGATGCATTTATAATAGGTATTTATTTTTTAAATAATGAATTTCTTATAGACAATATGCAGTTAAGAAAAAAATAATAATAAAAACAGAAAACCACCCTGACCTGGCCTGGGCAGAGCCAGGACAGTAGGCCCTTGCAGAAATGGTGCACAGCTGTGCCTCAGGGGAGCAGGGCTGGCAAGTGGCAGTGTGGTAACAGAGGGCAGGAGGCAACGGAGTGGTAACACAGGCTTCCCAGCCTTGGCAGCCTACACACAGCTGGGAGCCAGGCTCTTGCTCAGCTGTTATGCTGCAGAAGCCCAGACTGGCAGAGACTTAGATGAGGCCTGAAGCCCATTGGGAATACTGCCTTGCACTCCAGTGGGAGGGACCTAGGACAGAGCTTTCAGAGCAAGGCTCACACCAGCATGGACCTCCAGAGCTGGGAGACAGGGGAGGGGCGCAATGGGTCTGGCAAAGCCTAGGTCTTATAGTCACTCACCCACAAGTCCAGCCTGCTGCAAGCCCCAGAGGGCAGCACCTGTTGTGAAGGCATTCCAGAGTGTGCCTACCACGGCATAGGTAAGGATGGCACCCAAGTTGTCAAAGAACAGCCTGCTAGGCATGAAATAGCCCGAGTCCAACACAATAGGAGGCAGCAGGAAGAGGAAGAAGGTACCCGGCTCCAGCTGGTACTCAGCTTTCTTGGCCACAGCCAAAACAATGCCCCCTAGCACCAGGCCCAGCAAAATCAGCAGGCAGCTCTCAGGGACCAGAGATGTTACTTTCCGAGACAGGTGAAACACTGCAATGCAAAAAGAGGGCAGGGTGCATCAGTTTATGGAATATCGTCCCACACCCAGGCGTATATATCCTCCCAGTCCTAGAAGGTTAGTCAAAGTCAGGATTCCTGACTCTGGGTCCAAGGGAGGAGAAATATGCAAGACTTCTAGAATTTCCAGTCTCCAGGGCTACAAACCCTCTGCTGCAGTCAAAGTCATCTGTTTGTTAGTGTTTCTGTCACAACATGGTAACCTAGGTCTTTACTGCTTTTTCCTCTTCTAGAAATGTCCCTTCCTCTCTACTTTCATCCTCAGGGAACCGCACCTTTCTGACTTCCCTTATCCATGGCCACTATTTCAACCTCAGCAAATGCTACCCAGTATCTTTCTATATATAAAATAGCTGTAAAAACCAGGGCCTTTGAAGTCAGACTGCTTGGATTCAAAGCCTAGTTCTGTAACCTTAGGGCAAATAACTTCACCTCTCTGACTCTCAGTTTTCTCATCAGCGAAACGGGAGTAAAAACATAATCATAAGATTATTGGGACCATTAAAAAAGATAATCTACAGGCTGGGCATGGTGGCTCATGCCTGTAATCCCAACACTTTGGGAGGCCAAGGTGGGCAGATCACCTGAGGTCAGGAGTTCCAGATCAGCCTGGTCAACATGGCAAAACCCTGTCCCTATTGAAAATACAAAAAATTAGCCGGGTGTGGTGGCGGGTGCCTGTAGTCCCAGCTACTCGGGAGGCTGAGGCAGGAGAATCACTTAAATTTGGGAGGTGGAGGTTGCAGTGAGCCAAGATCATGCCACTGCACTCCAGCCTGGGCAACAGAGTGAGACTCTGTCTTAAGAAAAAAAAAAAAAAAAAAAAGGCCAGGTGGCGTGGTGGCTCACACCTGTAATACCAGCACTTTGGGAGGCCAAGGCGGGCAGATCATGAGGTCAAGAGATAGAGACCATCCTGGCCAACATGGTGAAACCCCCTCTCTACTAAAAATACAAAAATTAGCTGGGAGTGGTGGTGCACACCTGTAGTCCCAGCTACTTGGGAGACTGAGGTAGGAGAATCACTTGAACCCAGGAGGCAGAGGTTGCAGTGAGCCAAGATCATGCCACTGTACTCCAGCCTGGTGACAGAGCAAGACTCTGTCTCAAAAAAAAAAAAAAAAAAAAAGACAATCTACTGAAAAGCACTTAGCACACTACTTTACAGTAAGCACTCAATAAATTTACCTATTTATAAGTCCTCACTCCTTAACTAGACCAGAATGTATATTATACCTCCTAGGAGCCTTGTAGACTCCTAGCCCAATATGCTTTCCATTATATGGACTTACTCAGGACTGTGTAAAACTGGGTTTAGCAGTCAGGAGATCTCCAGGTCTTCTTCCAGGCCTTAGAACATTCTGTGTGTTCTCAGGCAAATTATTTAACTTACTTGAATTTCATTTTCTTCTTTTGTAATACAGGAAAAATACCCAGCATCAAGGGTGAGGATAAGATGATATAAAGTATACAATATGCCTAGCATAATGTCAGACACATAGTAGGTTCTCACCAAATGTTAATAGGACAGTTCTTTCTCTAGGAGGGGAGAAGAAAGGGTTTCTAGCACGATTGCCACTCATAGTTTTGTCCTCTAAAAGAAACTCTTTGGCTCTCTTTTAAGTTCTCAGACCACAAGTGAACATCTCTCTCTCTCTACATAATCCCTGGTGTGCTGGGGAAGGAGGCCTCTAAATTAACCTGTGTGAGACCCTATGCCAAGTCAGTGCCCTTTGAAAGCTGTACCCAAAGGGCCTAGAACAGTGCCTGGCACATAGTGAGCTCAATGTAAATATTTGTTTAATAAACGGGAAAAAGTCTCCTAGCAATGAAGCTGAGGGAAGGTATTCCTGAATGTTCTGCCTTTCCCCCCACCTTTTAGGATTTTCTTTGACTTGTGAGAAGGAGGCTCTCTTCTCTACTTCCGTAGGAGATATCATCCAAACTAGAAAAAGAATGATGATTTATGGGGAAAACTGCAGTTGTTGCTATAAGCCCTAAGACAGGAACTCTTCTGCAACTCAGACTTCTCAGCAAACCCAATTGTTGGCTCCAAATCTGAGGCTCCTTTCACTCTTACTCTCATTGCTTACCTTACCTCTAAGGTAAGCGTGGTCATAGATCTCTCCATACTTGTCCCTACTTTGGTCTCCCACTCCTCTCCTTCAGGGATCATATTTCATCTGCATCTCTTTATGCATTAATCCCAGCCCTTCGATCCAAGCCCCATCACAGAAGCAGGCTCCCCGGAGTCCCACTTTCCATTATTAATCTCAGGCTGCCACAGCAGAGTGGAGAGTTCTGTTCCTGCCCAGCCCCCTCACCCCCCAGCAATGTCCCTGTGAGAGAAGGGGGGCAAATTCTAGGCTCTGGGTGACTCCTCCATGAAGGCTGTATTGGTGAGATTGGAGTACAGGCTGTGCCAGCATCCACTGGGAGAGAGTAGCAACGCTCAGCTATAATTAGTCACCCCCACAGCAGAGCCTGCACAACAGGGAGAAGGGGGAGGGTCTCTGGTGGGAGGAGGGACCACTGGCTGCTCAGAAGGGAGGAGGAAGGAGCAGAGGCAAGGAAAAGCAGCTCTATTCCGGGAAAAAGAAGTCTAAGCACAGCCTTCAATGCTGTCAGGACTGAAGAGGTCGGACGTATGAAAGCTTCTAGGGTAGGCAGCACACAGCAAGCCCCCCCATACATGGAAGTTTCTTATACCCTGAAGTGGGAAGAATGTGGACCTGAAGGGGTGGGGGGGTCCCGACACACAGACACAAGAAGGCTGCAGCTTTAAGTGGGGAGCAGAGGAGAAGTGGCGGTGGTGTAGTTTCCCAAGGGAATGGGCACTCGGACGTGGTCTCCAGGGAAGGCTGCTTCTTCAGAACCAGGATGCCTGTGTTCGTGGGAGAACACCCTCCCCTCAATGTCCCCACATGTCCTCACTGCCGACAGAGGTTTCTGGGAGGCCGAGGATAGATGGAGGAGAGACCAGACTGAGGAGGGCCTACTACAAGGGGAAGAGGGGAGCAGAGAGGGCAAAGGAGTCTAAAGATGGAGTTGGGGAGAGCAGGGGACAGCCCTTCTGAAAGGCAAATCCTTAGAGCTCCCACGGGAGAAGACAGGGACCAGGGACCCACAAGAGGCAACGCAGGAACTGGGCGAGAGCCCGGATTTGTGGAATCCAAACCTGAGTCCCGGCACCGTGCAAGAAGCCAGCCCCAATCTGAGGACTGAGGAGGTGGGGGTGTTGGGGGCGGATCCGCCGCGGGCCGTTGGCCTGGCGCACGCACACACGCACTCACCGATTTTGGCCAAGCTGGCCACCAGGATCCACAGGGCTACCAGGTAGGGCGCCTCGACCTCGTGCCACTGCCAGCGGAAGAGCTCCAAGCCTGGGAGAGGCTCCCCCGGGGACTCTGGCTTCCGGGTGGGGTGTTCGGCCGCCCCCGCCAGGGGCAGCGCGAGCAGGGACAGTGCGGCACGCAGCATCCTGTCTTCTGCCCAGCCGCCCTCCCGGCACCGCACGGCCGCCGGCCCCGCGTCGCCGCCGCCACCTACCGGGCGCCCCCGCGTCACAGGCACGTGGGCCCCGCTCCCCCCAATCCCGGCTCCGATGCCCCCAAGCCCGGTCCGGGCTCGGAGACCCTGCCCCGGACGCCCGTAGTCTGGGACCCCGGCCTCCTTCCTCCCTAAATCAGTTCCAGCTCCGGAAATTCCCCAGTGCAGCTCTCCCCCAAGTTCCACAACCTACTCCTCCGAGTCTGCTCCCGCAATACCGCCGCCACCGGATTCAGAGAGGTGCGCGGTCACGACCCCCCGGGGCAGCCCGCAGTGGGAAGGGCGACGGTCCGCCGGGGGACGCGGTCAGGACGGGAGGGGCACGGCTACTCCTCGGCCAGCGCCGCGGGGCGGCTAGCAACCCTCGTCTGGGGCCCAGGCGCGGCCGGGTGCAGACTGCAGGGGACCGTGCTCTGCCGCCCTCGGCGCCGCGCTCCCAAGCCCGGGACCCCCAGCCGGCCCCAACGCGGACCTGAGCTGCGCACGCGCACTGGACGTTCCCCCAAAGCAGTGATGGACAACGCCGCCCCCGACGTCCCCAGAAACCCCAAGGCCCAGACTGGCCCAGCTCATTCCAGGGGAAGAGGAAGACTGTTCTTCATCTCCCAAACTGAGAGGCACCTGGCTCTCCCTTTCAATCACACTACAGGGAACTGTCTCATCTCTTCCACGAAGCTGACAGGAACCTATGGCAAACCCAGCCTACTGATTCCCTTCAAACTAGGCGGGATGCACCCAGCCTTTTCCAAATCTGAGGGGCATTCGGCTCATCTCGCACCAGAGGAGGCCTGTCTCCACTTTTCATTGAAGCTGAGGGGCACCCATCCCACTTTTTCACCAAATCTGAGGAGAACGTGTTCTATCTGCCCCCTCAAACTGACTCATCCCAATCGTTTCCCAGAAAACTGAAGGGCATCCTTCCCTCATCCTCCCACAACTAAAGGGAACTGATCCCACCTCTTCCTTCAAACTGAGTGGAATCTATTCTCACTTCTTGCTCAAAATTGAAGGGACCCCCCCACTCACTGCTTTCCCCAAATGAGGAAACCACAAGCACTCATCCCTCAAATGGAAGGAATGAGGATTATCCTGTCCCTCAACTGAGAGAGACCTGGCCGGCCACTATCTAAAGAAACTTCTCCCCCAACTGTCCTAACACCCCTCAAAGAGAACACAGCTTCACTACCGTCAGACCGAAGAGAGCCTCCCGCCCTCGGTTCCTTCTCGAAGGCGGGGCGCGAGCTCGGCTTTTCCCGCCCTCCTAGCCAGTGAACTAACGGGATTCCTGCTGGGCCCTGTGAGTGGCTAGCGCCAGCCCCGCCTCCGGCAGTGGTTACCTCCACGCGCGCAATCGGGAACTAATCTTGGCTCCACCCCCTTCCTCGGCCCTGCCTACGTCTGGCCCCGCCCCTCCAGCCGCGTCCTGTCCGGCCCAGCCAGAACAGCGGAGCTACAGTGTGCTGGAGTAGAAGCTGCTGTGGGGCCGGGATTCCGAGGTTCGCCGCGCGAGCCGGCGGCAAAGCCATGGCGGGCGGGGACGACCGCGGGGACGAGGGGCCGGTATCAGTGGTGACCGTGAGGGTGCAGTACCTGGAAGACACCGACCCCTTCGCGTGTGCCAACTTCCCGGAGCCGCGCCGGGCCCCCACCTGCACCCTGGACGGGGCGCTGCCCCTGGGCGCGCAGATACCCGCGCTGCACCGCCTGCTAGGGGCGCCGCTCAAGGTGAGGGGAGTTGGAGAAAGGTTGGGGCGATCGGGGATTTAGGGTGGGCGCCATGAAAGCTGGTGGGAGGTACACCTCGGGAAGAGGCTGGAGCAAGCGCTCTTCCGAAAAGTCTTGGACTGGGGCCCCAGGGTCCACGCTGCCCCTCCTGCGGGAGAGGGAGTTCCCTCTCAAGTTGAGGAAAAACTCAAGAGGGGTGCTAGAAACTTGTTCCCGGCATTCTGGCCTCTCTTCAAATTAGGCACACCTGGGGAGGTGCTCGCGTTCCACTCGCCATCCGTTTGCCAGGGTGGCTTCGCTGGTCAGGGTGACGGTAGCTATTTGGGCTGTAGTGGACCCTGGAGGCGGAGCTGGGAAGGGACCAGCTTCCACCTGCTTCAGGTGAGGTGGGGGCGGGACCACGAGGAGAGGCGGGCCCGGGGCTGGCTACTAGAGGTGGCAGAGGTTTCCCGCGGTGTCATGAAGCTGGATTGGGGCTTGACCCTGTAGGTCAGTGGGAACAAGGGAGTGCCGGCCGAGGAGAGACTTCACGGGGTGAGGGGAGTCCCCGGGAAGCGGTCTCGGCCTGGGATTCGCAGAGCGCAGGAGGCTGCACGGGTGGAAAAGCCCTTTGAGTCAGCGCTCCCGCTCCCCATCCCCCGACACTCGCCGCCCATCGGCCGGCTCCTGGAAGTGAGAGGGAGGGCCAGGCTAATTTTAAACCGCAGGCCTGCTCTACTCTGCCGCCGCTCCGAAGCCGACTTGTGCACTGTTCGGGAAGAGGCCCTTTTCCAGATGGCCAGCCTACCTCTTCTCCCCTCTCTCTCACCGCCCTCAGCCCCCCACAAGCAGCCCTTTCCGGCACGCTGTTTCCGGGCCAGGACTCTGGGAGGCGCACTACCACCACCCCCAGGCTCCCCGCCAGTCCGGCCGCCTCGAGTGCTAGGGAGGAGGAGAGGGAGTCGGTGTGGGTGTCCTCCCCTGCTCCCAGACTCAGCTGGGCGCCGCGTGGCGTAAACTTGCCCCTTGGGCCCAGGGTCTCCCTTGGAATGTGCCCCGGGCCCCCAGCCCGCATTCCTCGCCCTGTGGCCGGCCCCGCCTCTGAGCGCTGGTGGGAGGGGTGAGACTTTTGGCCTGGGGAGTGGCCCCCCCACCCGGCTTCAAGGCCAAAGGATGCAGCACACTGCCTACCGCCTGAGTTTTGACGCAGACCCCACTTGTCCTGCCCTATTGAGAGGGTCAAATTGAGGTGTCCTTGGAAGAACCGTGTGCAGCTGAAGGCCACCTCCCATTCAGGCTGGGGGCTGGCTGAACAGGAGTGCTGAATTGTGACTGGTTCTCTCTTCCAGGCTCCTAAAGTCCTGGTCCTGAAATAAGGGTGGGACACTAGAGAAAAGATAGTATTCCTCTCATCCTGCCACTCAAGAATTGGACCTAGCCCTGACACCCCCCCTCCTTTTTTTTTAAGATGGATTCTGGCTCTGTGTCCCGGCTGGAGTGCAGTGGGGCCATGTCGGCTCACTGCAACCTCGGCCTCCCAGATTCTAGCAATTCTGCCTCAGCCTCCTGAACAGCTGGGTTTACAGGCGTGCATCACCACGCCCAGCTAATTTTTTTATTTTTAGTAGAGACAGTGTTTCGCCATGTTGGCCAGGCTGGTCTCAAACTCCTAACCTCAGGTGATCTGCCTGCTTTGGCCTCCCAAAGTGCTGGGATTAAAGGCATGAGACACTGTGCCCAGCCCCTTGACGCCCCTCTTCCCAACTGGGGGCAGGCCTGGGAGGTCAGCTGCAAGAAAGAGGCTCAGAACCACCCCTTCCATCTCATCTCATGGGACCCGTTTCCCCACCTGACCCCACAAGGTGCTCTGCCCTCTGTTCCCTGCTCCTTTGCTGAGGACACTACAGAGCTCCGATGGAGAATATAAGTTTCCCATCCCCAATGCAGTCCTTCCTGGTCTCCCTGGTTTCATGTTCTCCCACCTGGGGTACCCGAGGACTGCCTCCCCTCCCCCACAGGGATATGGAGGTGGTACACTAGGTTACCACAATACCCAGAGCCAGGACTCCCTGGGGCTAGCAGCTCTGCCAGGAATGGTCAGATGCACTGTGATGTGCTCAATCCAAATATAAACTGTGACCACAGCCCCAGAATAGAAGGCTGGAGGAAGAGGGGCTGAGAATAGGGCAGGGGCAGGGACATCAGAGAGCTGAGCGAGGGGGAGCAGGGCCCCTCCTTGCAGGAAATGTCAACAACTGGTTCCTCCCATAGTCCTATAAGTGGGTGCCCCAGAGGCACAGACATGACTCAGGACTGTCTTGCTGGCCCTCTAGAGGGGAAAGGTGGCCCAGAAGCCCAGGCATCCCTGTCCCAAGCTGTAGGGCAGAAATAAAAGGAGGGTGTTCTCTCCTCATTGCTTTATCCTATATACAGTAGGACAGGACAGAGGACAGGACACAGCAGAGGACAGGACACAGTGAAGTGGCCTCTGTCTTCCTCTGAGTACTGGCCCTGGGCACTGGCCCTGATCATCCCAGCAGATGACCCACCCCCACCCCCCTGGGGATGTACCAAGGCCAGCCTGCTTTCTCCCTGGGGCTCCACCTGCATACCCTTTTGGGCCAAGCCCAGCCCCTAGAGTTCCCCTGGGGGCTTCCTTTTTAAAGAGTTTTCAGGTCTGAGAAAGCCTTGCTCATTTCCTCCTAGTCTAGGAGGAAGCTCCTGGCCACAGCCTCTGACTCATCTCCTGGCCCTGGTTGGTGGAGGGAAGCCTGACAGTGCCTTGGGCCAGACCTAGTGTTGAGGGGGAACTCAGGAGTGCCTTCCTCTCCTCCATGCAAAATATTCCCCCAGCCCAGGGACCTGCCTTTGTCCCAGGGGAGAATGTGTCCCTCTGTCCTTGTATCTCATCTCCTAATCCAGAGCTTCCCAGTCCTACCCTCCCTTCTGGGAAGTGTCTCAGGAGCCTCTCTCTGATACCCAAGGCCCTCACCACACCGGGTATAGCACTGACTTTTTTCTCCCTGAGATCTGGGTAGGGGGACTTGGGGTGCTTCTCTGACCCTCCTGCAAAACCAGGCAAGCCCTCTCCCCCTGGCAGTGGGGATGGCCTTAGAAATCTGGTCATTATGAGCAACTTTGTTTCCATAGCTGTGGCTAAAGACAGAGCAGGACAGTGGTGGCACTGTCCTGAAATGTTTCCTGACCCTACCCCAACCCATCTAGGCTTTTTACACCTCAGGAGTCTTTGGGAGACTGTAGAAAACTGGGGTGTGGGAATGAGCCCTGGTCTCCTCCTGGCCTCCTCTGGGGCTGGTCCATCCAATCTGCTGGTTATTCTGGAACAGAGTGGCTGAGCTGCAGCCTGGTGAGGGACCCTGGCACTTAGGTCTTGGCAGAGGTAGATACTATTATCCTAGCTTGTATGAGGTATGTGTGTCTACTGGTTTTCCCTTGCTGGAACTGGGAGGACCAGTTTGGAGTATTTACAGAGTCCAGAAAGCTAAGAGGATGTCTTCAGCTCTTGGCAATCCTGCTGGTCCCAGCCGTCACTCCACCTCCCCTCTAGGGTTCTCTGGAGCACTTCCAGGGCCCATCCGCCCAAGATGGCATCAATTAACCATGGCTCCTGGCTATGCAGCCTGGGGCAATGTGCTAATTTTCTCATTCTTGGTTTCCCCATCTGTAAAAGGATTATTGGTAGAATCAAATTAAATAGACAGCTCAGGCTGGGCTTCTCATGGCTCATGCCTGTAATCTCAGCACTTTGGGAAGCTAAGGCCAGAGGACTGCTTGAAGCCAGGAGTTCAAGAACGGTGTGGGCAATATAGACCCTATTTCTATTTATAAAAAAGAAAGAAAGAAAGAAAGAGGCAGCCCAGTGCCACAGAGGAAGCATAATGAAAAGATAACAAAAGTAGATTTCCCTCCCCAAGGGCCATCCATATCATCTCATTCAGGAAGTCACTCTCTAGTTGGAGACCCACAATAACAGGAAAGGAGGGTCTTTAGAACACTGGGTTCTGTGTTTATAGGAAAGGAGACAAAAGAGGCAGTTAACCAATTATTTTTTAAAACAGAAGCCTTTCAGCCTATAATCTCACCCCTTTTCCATCTTCCCTGTACCCTGCTCTATAGTATGCTCAGTCTTACCTGATTACAGGTAATCAGGTAAGACTTATTAAAAATACTGGGTAAGACAGTCCAAAAAACAAAAGGGGAAAATATATATATATATATATATATATATATATATATATATATATATATATTTATATTAGATAATAGATATATATAATGGGTACCTAGATATATGTATAATAGATATGATACATAGATATATATAGGTTATCAATACCTATAGACATCTATATTATAGATAGATGTCTATAATATAGATACAGATACATATTTAGAAAGAGAGTGAAGTAGACGTCATGTTCCCCTGAGATTGATCTTGCATATAAAACCATATGTAACCAGTTGGTTTTGGGCTGCCAGAAAAGCCTGGGCCTGGAGAGTCAAGAGAATAGTGGGCTGGAGGCCAAAGTGAGAAGCTGAGCCTGGGAAGAATGAGAGAAGGACTCTACCCCAAGACAGAGACCAGAAAAGTGAGGAAGACAGGAGCCAGAAAGGTGTCAGGGATGTGGGTCCACACTACATGCTGACCTTAAGCCCTGTCAGCAAGGACCAGGGTTTGGGCTTATTCAGGCCTGGCCCAGGCCCAGGGTGTGAGAAACAAGGCCCAGAAGTTTGGCTTTCTCAGAAGGGTGACCCCAGGAAGGAGCCAGGGGTGTGAGGGACAAGTACCATCCTGCTGGCAGGAAGTCTCCTGCTCTTTGCTGCTTGCCTGACTCTAGCCTACCACCCCCACTTCCAAGCAGGACTGACAGCTGGGGGTGGGGAGACTGTCCTGGAAGGCACTGGACTGGACTGCCTGTTTTCCTGGACCTCCTCCCAGAAATGGGGCCCTGGTAGGATTGGACAGGCGAAGTGGCTGAGGAGGACACTGCCACGACGACAGAGACAGGGTTGAACCTGCTCAGCTAAGAAGACTAGAGAAGGGGGACGATTGGCTGAGTGCAGTGGCTCACACCTGTAATCCCAGCACTTTGAGAGGCAGGCTGGTGGATCACTTGAGGTCAGGAGTTCAAAAACAGCCCGGCCAACATGCTGAAACCCCATCCCTACTAAAAATACAAAAATTAGCCAGGCACGGTGGTGCACGCCTGTAATGCCAGGTACTTGGGAGGCTGAGGTGGGAAAATCGCCTGAACCTGGGAGGAGGTTGCAGTGAGCTGAGATCTTGCCACACTGCACTCCAGCCTGGGAGACAGACTGAGACTCCATCTCAAAAAAAAAAAAAAAAAAGGTGGACCACTTAAAAAAAAAAAAAAAAAAAGTGGTCCATTTCAGGACCCTGCCCCAAATGGATGCAGGTGTCCCAGTTCTCCTGGAAGGAAAGGGCCATTCTCTGCTCCCTTGGGATTAGAGCATGCAAGAGCACAGGACAGTGTGGTGGGCCTGACCTTTCTGGGGCTGTGCTGCTTCAGCCTGTGTTTGAACTGTTGGTCAGTTCAAAGCCGACCTTATACCTGGGTGCGTAAGCAGTTACTAGGTGTAACATAATCTCCCCTCCCATTTATCTTTATAGAACTCTGCCCCTCCCCTTTCCTAGTACCCATGGAAGTTGTGATTTTGTGTTTTCTGAGTTAAGTCTGTCTGTCTTCCCCACTGGGCTACAAGGAAGGAAGGGAAGGCAAAGGCAGTGTCTGATTCCTGCTAAATCCTCTGCATCTGAAACCAGCGGGTTCATGAATGTTCAAATGAATGAGCTGTTCTATACATGTGTGATCTGGGGGGAATCCCTGACGGGGGTGGCTCTGGGGGAGGTGTCTTCCTCTAGGGTTCCAGAATCCTCTGGGCCAAGGGAGGGAGATATGGCTGTGCCTGAATGGGGGTAGGGTGGTAGGCTGCTGAGTCACTGTGTGGGAAGAGAGATCAGGAGGAATGTGGGCTGCCCTCAGCTGAGCTGGCCCTGGACAAGATACTCCAGCCCTCAGGCCTTGCTGCCCCTTTTCAGGCCTGTTCCCAGTAGGCTCTGGAGAAGATGACTCTGCTCCCAGGGAGGGGAAAGCGGCCAGGCCCGCCCAAGGCACCCTGGGGAGGGCATGCAGCCAGGCAGGAAGTGGGACAGAGAACAGGCTGGAGTGTTTGTCCTATGTTCCAGGTCCCAGGCGAGGGGGTGCAGGGGTCACCCAAGGGCCCCATAGGCTAAACTGTGGGGAAGGAGCCAGGTCAGGCTCTGAGGCAGGAGCAAGGGGTGCTAAACAGAGGCAGGATCTGGGGCAGGAGCTGGCCTCCCTTTTTCCCCAGGGGACCAAGGCTAGTTGGAAGCCCTTGGGCGGGGTCCAGAACAGGGCAGGGCTAACTAAACAGCAGGACAAATGTTGAAATTGACATGCCCAGTAAGATGGAGACTGGAATACCCCCTGCCTCTTCAGAGGTGGGCTCTCTGGGCCAAGGTATCTCAAGGGCCAGAGCCACTTAAGTCAAGGGGACTTTGCTGAGCCTGCATACCTGCACTGTGCAATGCGGGAGGTATCTGGGAGAGGCAGAGTAGTCACCTCCCTCAGGCTTCTCTACAGGCACTTCTAAAGGGGCCAAGTACCATGCCCCGTGGCGGGGGAGGAGAGCCAGGCTCAGGGAGGGAAACATGGGAGATGGACACATGGATGGAGCATGAGCCTGCCTGTTACAAAGGCAGGCCTCGGTGTCCTACTGTAGACTGAGTCAGACTCTAAATTATTTTGTTTTGTTTTTAAGAGGGAGTCTCTGTCACCCAGGCTGGAGTGCAATGGTGTGATCTCAGCTCACTGTAACCTCCACCTTCCAGGTTCAAGCAATTTCCCAGCTTCAGCCTCCCTAGTAGCTGGGATTACAGGCACCCACCATCATGCCTGACTAATTTTTGTATTTTGTAGAGATGGGATTTCACCATGTTGGCCAGGCTGGTCTCGAATTCCTGACCTCAAGTGATTGCCTGACTTGGTATCACAAAGTGCTGAGATTACAGGTGTGAGCCAGCATGCCCAGCCTTAAGTTTGTTTTTTAACAGGCCCCCTTGTGGGGGTTCTCTGAAGTCCAGCTAGGACCATTGTAACTGAAGCCCACTTTGGGGAGGGCAAAGACCCGGAAATATGGTGGGACTGGGGAGAACCCTGTTCTTCACCCTCTTACTCACTGAGACACACACAGACACACTCTCCCGGATGGGTTTGCACCTCCCAGCCATCTTAACACTTTTTCTCTGAGGGTTAATGCTTTGTGACTACAGCTTTTCACCCCACAAGGCTGTGAGCTTCCTCGAAGGCAGGAACTTCTTCCCATCTTCTCTCAATTCCCCTTCCTCATCCATGTTCATTAGCTCAACAAGCCTTAGTGAGTGGTTACCATGTGTCAGGTGCTATGCCAGGCTCTTCAGATACAGCAGGGAGCAAGACAGATGGAGTGCCTGAATGCAGAGAACACAGCTAGAGGGGAAGGAGACCAGTGGCTCGGATATTAGAATGTTGTGTGGAAGGTCTCCGAGGAGAGCACACACAGGGTGGAGTGGGTTGCATAGCAACCTAAAGAATAGGTAGGTGTCAGCCAGGAGAGGAAATGGCAGAGACAAAGGGCAAGAAAGCCTGGTGCCTGAGACAGATGGGCTTTGCACATAGTAGGCATTTAAAAAACAACTGCTAAAGGAATGCCCGGCTGTAGTGCAGACCCTGTGTCTCTCTGCCACCCCCGAACTGGGAGGTAAGAGGTCTTCCTCAGTCTCAACCTGTCCCTTTTGTCCCCAGCTGGAGGACTGTGCTCTGCAAGTGTCTCCCTCTGGATACTACCTGGACCCTGAGCTGTCCCTGGAAGAGCAGCGGGAGATGCTGGAGGGCTTCTATGAAGAGATCAGGTCAGAACTGATGGGGCCAGGGAGGCAAGGTTATTCCCACCTTTGCCAGGGGCTGGCTCAAATGTCAACAGCTGAGACACTTGATTGCTATCCTGGGCCATGGGTCACCTCCTGCCCCAGGGAACTGTGCCAAGGGAATTCTAAAGCCTGGCCAGTGTTACCTGCTGCCCAAGATGGGAGTCAGGGGCTCTCCCACATACCTGAGGAACATATGTTTGCACCAACCTTCTTGTCTGGCCAACCCTTGGGTCCTTGGTGGAGCAGCTGGGGAGGAAAGAGTTGGGCTGGGGTTGGCATGGGGAGGTCTTTGGCTCCCTTGTTTTATGGGGAGGGATGCTGAGGGATGGGCTGGGAGCTGCTGACAGGGATCCTTGATTCCAGCAAAGGGCGGAAGCCCACGCTGATTCTTCGGACCCAGCTGTCTGTGAGGGTCAACGCTATCTTGGGTAAGTGTGAGAGGGCATCCATGTCCAGCAGCACCTCCTCCCCATAGCCCAGTTGGCTCACTTTCAAGCCTGTGCTGAACAGTGGACGGAGCAGGTTCAGCTGGATGTGCTTCTTCCTTTCCCTCTCCTGACCTCTCCTTCCAGGGCCAGGGTGGGAGTGGAGGGGGGTTCAAGAATGTTAGTACAGACCAGGTACTTGCAATGCCATTGCTTTGGGAGGTCAAGGTGGGAGGGATTGTTTGAGGCTAGGAGTTTGATGCTGCAGTGAGCTATGACTGTGCCACTGCACTCCAGCCTGGGTGACAGAGTGAGACCCTCTTAGACAAATATATATATATATATGTGTGTGTGTGTGTGTGTGTGTGTGTGTGTGTGTGTATATATATGTATGTATACATATTTTTATATGTGACTGTTTATATATACGACTATTTTTTGGTGGAAGTTGTGGTTGTGTCCCAATAGAGGAAGACAGTGAGTCTGTGTACCCTAGAGGGTTTCATGCCCTACCTTTTGCAGAAAAGCTGTATGGCTCCAGTGGCCCTGAGCTCCGCCGCTCCCTCTTCTCACTGAAACAGATCTTCCAGGTGAGGCCCGCAGTAGGCTGGGGGTGGGCGTGCAGCCCAAGCCTCACTAAACTCCCCCATGGTGCCCCTAGGAGGACCAAGACCTGGTGCCTGAATTTGTGCATTCAGAGGGGCTGAGCTGCCTGATTCGTGTGGGTGCTGCTGCCGACCACAACTACCAGAGCTACATCCTTCGAGGTCAGCCCCACCCCTCCCCCATGACCTCTGCTCCAGCGACCCTCACTGACTCTGCCCATCCCTGTGTCCTCAGCACTTGGCCAGCTGATGCTCTTTGTGGATGGAATGCTGGGGGTGGTGGCCCATAGTGAGACTGTTCAGTGGCTGTACACACTGTGTGCCAGCCTGGTAAGTGGCTCTCCACCCAGCCTTATACCCTTTGCCTATTTATTGCTTCTCTCTGGGCCTCAGTTTCCTGTTCTGCAAAGTAGGCTGGAAGGGAGTGAGTCTGAGGCCTCTCTAAGCCTAGAAGGCACTTCAGTGCCTGGGCCTGGAGCGGGTTCATTCTGTCTAGATTCTCCTCTCAGGGTCCAGCCCCAACAGCCCTTCCCCTTCCCCAGCAGGAGCTGGCACAGATCTGGCCTAAGCCCTACTCATATGTGCTGACCTCTCCCCTCAGTCCCGCTTGGTGGTGAAGACAGCCCTGAAGCTGCTGTTGGTGTTTGTAGAATACTCGGAAAACAACGCCCCGCTGTTCATCCGCGCAGTCAACTCTGTGGCCAGCGCCACCGGTCAGAGACTGTCCCTTCCTCCCCCACCACTCACAGCCCTCTCTCCTACCTGTTCCCCCATGACACTTTCTGTGTGGCAGGTGCTCCTCCCTGGGCCAATCTGGTGTCCATCCTGGCAGAGAAGAATGGCGCTGACCCTGAGCTTTTGGTGTACACGGTCACCCTCATCAACAAGGTGTGGTCAAGAACTGGGTGCCAGCTCTGGGCTGCTCAGGTTCCTGACCTCCCCACCAACCTCAGCCTTGCCTTCTTATCTCCGCCCTCCAGACACTGGCAGCGCTCCCAGACCAGGACTCTTTCTACGATGTGACGGATGCACTGGAGCAGCAGGGCATGGAAGCGCTGGTCCAGCGCCACCTGGGCACTGCAGGCACTGACGTCGACCTGCGCACACAGCTTGTGCTCTATGAGGTGGGCAGGGCCCTAGGCTCTGAGGCGGGCTGGAAGGAGGGAAGAGAGAAGTGCAGTCCCCAACACCTCACCCCACCTGCATGCACGTTAACTACTTGCTTACATCATGGTCCACCTCTGCTAGAACGCCCTGAAATTGGAAGATGGAGACATCGAGGAAGCCCCAGGCATGGGTGGGCGGCGGGAACGACGGAAGCCTTCTTCTGAGGAGGGCAAGAGGAGCCGCCGATCTCTGGAAGGCGGGGGCTGTCCAGTGCGTGCCCCAGAACCTGGGTAAGTATGAGCCTCCGTAGATGGGGAAGGGTGGATCTACTAGGCAGGGCCCTGTCAGCTGACAGGCCCTGACCCTCACCCCTCAGGCCCTGTCCCACTGACAGGCCCCACCTCCAGCTCCTCAGGCCCCACCCCACTGACAGCTCCTGCCTCCAGCCCCACAGGCCCCGCCTCACCAGTAGGCCCCACCTCTTCCACCAGCCCCACCTCCAGCCCTGTGGGCCCTCCCTCTGGCCTCCAAGCTTCAGTGAACCTTTTCCCTACCATCTCTCTGGCACCCTCAGCTGACACCTCCAGCGAGAGGAGCATCTACAAGTAAGTAGGGAGACAGAGGCCACCCTGGAGTCCCCTCTCCCACTGTCCCTCTGCTTTGCGCCCCTCCATGGGCCCTCAACCTCCTCTGCCCAAACTCGTGCTTTCTGTCTCTTTCCAGACTTCACCAAACTGCTCCTGTTTGGTAAGTGACTGCCAGCGGGTGGGGCTCTGCTCTGACTGGATCTCCTCCTCCCGTGGCTTCCTTTGTCTCCTGACATTCTGCCTGTCTTTGCCTCTGGTCATGTCTCCTAACCCCTATCTGTCTGTCACTCCCTTGTTCTGCTGCCACTGTCTCTTCCTGCACCCTGTCCTGCTCACGTCAGTCTCTCCCCACCACTTCCAGTATCCTCATGTCATGCCTTCCCCACTTCCCACTGCAGCTGGGAAGACCAATATCACTGCCCAGCTCTGTGTGGGCATGAGCAACCATGGAGCCGGCACCACAGTTACCATCTCTTCCTCTCATTCCCCCTACCCAGGGCCCCTGAGAGCCCACCCGTTCCCCAGTCCCCTCCTGGGCAGGCCAGGCTGGAGTAAGTATAGAGGCCAGCCTGCCAGGCCTGCCATGTGCTCAGGGCTTCAGCATTGCTTCCCCAGCAGGGGTTCCACATGCCTGATGCAGCCAGAGCTGGGGGACTCTCAGGCCTATCCTCTCCTAGACATATGCCACCTTGGTAACCCAAAAGCTAAACACTGGGAAGCAATTCACTGGGGCCACGGTGGTCCCTGTGCTTCAGTAGTGACACCTTAGCAGCCAGAGATGGGGATGTGGATGCCCAATCTGGGGCTCATTCTGCCATATCCTCAGCTAAGGAATGGGCAGAGAAGGGACCTAGGATGCTGTATGGTGTGGGGGTGGAGGGGTTACCTAAGACTGAGGGAAAGCCAGGGACAACAGAAGCTAGAGGGGCCAGAAAAGAGATACTGGATTGCACCCATTATTTTAGCATAAACTGAGTGTTCAATGTTTACCATGAACTTATTTTTTTTTTGAGACAGAATCTTGCCCTGTCTCTAAGACTAGAGTACCATGGCACAGTATCAGCTAACTGCAACCTCCGCCTCCCAGGTTCAAGCAATTCTCCTGCCTCAGCCTCCCAAGTAGCTGGGATTACAGGCCTGCATCATGACACCTGGGTAATTTTTGTATTTTTAGTAGACACTGGATTTCACCATGTTAGCCAGGCTGGTTTCCAACTCCTGAGTTCAAGTGATCCACACACCTCTGCCTCCCAAAGTGCAGAGATTACAGGCATGAGCCACTGCACCTGGCCAGTTTACCAAGCCCTTTCCTGGACATAGGCTCCCAGAAGCTACCAGACATGCCAGGGGAGGGACAGCCTGATATAGCCATTGGGACAGCTATCCCCTTCCCCTGCTCTAAGAGTCCTTGTCTAGCCTCAAGACACTAGCCTGGGCAACATAGCAAGACCTTGTCTCTACAAAGAAATTTTTAAGAATTTGGCTGAGTACAGCATTCACGCCTGTAATCCTAGCACTTCAGGAGGCTGAGTTGAAAGGATTGCTTGAGGCCAGGAGTTCAAGACCAGCCTGAGCAACAAAGTGAGACCCTGTTTCCACGAAAACAAAAATTAACTGGGCATAGTGGCACATGCCTGTAGTCCCAGCTACTTGGGAGGCTGAGGCTCAGGCCCAGGAGGTTGAGGCTGCAATGAGCTATGATTACACCACTGTACTCTGTCCTGGGTGACTGACAGAAAGAGATGCTGTCTCTAAAAAACAACAACAAAAAAATTCAGGACAGTGAACATGAACGAAGTTGCGAGTTAGATGTTAATTCTCCCTCTATTTTCACCTGGGAATGCTGGGTTGGTAGTAATCCTCCCCAGATGTGGAGGACAGAAGAGAGGCTGGCCTTGTGGGGCGGTTCTGGTCAGCTCAGTGCATGGACTGTTCCCCGTGTGTGTGTGCCTGCAATTTGGGGTGGTGTCCAGGGGCTCAGCAAGGCATGTGCACCTGGGCTGGGGTGTGTCAGACACTGTCACTGACAAGCACCTCCCCTCAGAACCCGGTTCCTGGAGAATGTGGCAGCAGCAGAAACTGAGAAGCAGGTTGCGCTGGCCCAGGGCTGGGCAGAGACATTGCCTGGGGCCATGCCTGATGAGGCAGATGGACACTTAGGTGAGTAGGTAGGTGGGAAGGCAGAGGCTGCCTGTTGCCCTGTTGCCCCACAGAGGGCATGACACTGACAGCTGCTTCCCTTTCTTTAGATGCCCGGGAACTCTGGGACTCCCCAGAGACAGCCCCTGTACCCAGAACACCCCATAGCCCTGCCCCCCGTGTTCTGCTCCGGACCCAGCGAAGCCTTGAGCCAGAGCCCAAGGAGCCACTGATGCCATCAAGCCCCAAGGCTGAGCCCACTTGGGAGCTCCCTACCCGTGCACCCAAGCTCTGCATTGGGGACTTGGACTTCTCAGATCTGGGGGAGGACGAAGACCAGGACATGCTGAATGTAGAGTCTGCGGAGGTTGGGAAAGGGGTCCCACCTCCCCCACCCCCACTGCCCCTGTTCTCTGGAGTCCCCCCACCTCCCCCACCTCTACCTCCCCCACCCATCAAAGGCCCCTTCCCACCACCTCCACCTCTGGCTGCGACTCTTCCTCCTTCAGTGCCTGACAGTGCAGCCCTCCCCACCAAGAGGAAGACAGTAAAACTTTTCTGGCGTGAGCTAAAGCTGGCTGCGGGCCATGGAGTCTCTGCAAGCCGCTTTGGGCCCTGCGCCACCCTCTGGGCTTCACTGGAGCCTGTCTCAGTGGATACGGCCCGGCTAGAACACCTCTTTGAGTCCCGTGCCAAAGACGTGCTGCCCTCCAAGGTACATCTATGGATCTGCACGGTAGCCCCAATGGAGGTGGGAGGGAATCAGAGCTCAAGGATCTGACCTGTTGGAGTTAGTCACTCACTTCCCACATGGGGAAACCAAGGCAAAGAAAGGAGTGGGGAATTGCCCAAGGTCTCCTAACAAGAGATTAGCAGTGCCCCAACTAGAATCTAGTTGCCTGGGCATGGTGGCTCATGCCTGTAATCCAGGAGTTTGAGACCAGCCTGGGCAGCATAATGAGCCCTTATCTCTACTAAAAGTTGGGCCAAGTGCAGAGGCTCATGCCTGTAATCCCAGGACTTTGAGAGGCTGAGGTGGGTGCATCATTTGAGGTCAGGAGTTTGAGACCAGCCTGGTCAAATTGGCAAAACCCCATCTCTACTAAAAATATAAAATGAGCCAGGTATGATGATGGGTGCCTGTATCCCAGCTACTTGGGATGCTGAGGCAGAAGAATCAATTGAACCTGGGAGGTGGAGGTTGCAGTGAGCCGAGATTGTGCCACTGCACTCCAGCCTGGGTGACAGAGCAAGACAAACTCAAATAAATAAATAAATAAATAAATAAATAATTGTTAAAAAAGAAAATTAGCCAGGCACAGTGGCTCACTCCTGTAATCCCAGCACTTTGGGAGGCCAAGGCAGGCAGATCACTTGAGGCCAGGAGTCGGAGACCAGCCTGGCTAGCATGGTGAAACTCCATCCCTACTAAATATACAAAAATTAGCTGGGTGTGTGGCTTGTGCCTGGACTCCCGGCTACTTGGGAGGCTAAGGCAGGAGAATTGCTTGAAACTGGGAGGCAAAAAAAAAAAAAAAGTTGCACATGGTGATGCATGCTTGTAATCCCAGCTACTTGGGAGGCTGAGGCCGGAAGATCTCAGAAGATAAACTGCAGTGGACTATGATGGCACCACTGCACTCCAACCTGGGTGGCAGAGCGAGACCTTGTCTCAAAAGTATCTAAATTCGGCCGGGCGCGGTGGCTCAAACCTGTAATCCCAGCACTTTGGGAGGCCGAGGCGGGTGGATCACGAGGTCGAGGGATCGAGACCATCCTGGTCAACATGGTGAAACCCTGTCTCTACTAAAAATACAAAAAATTAGCTGGGCATGGTGGCGCGTGCCTGTAATCCCAGTTACTCAGGAGGCTGAGGCAGGAGAATTGCTTGAACCCAGGAGGCGGAGGTTGCGGTGAGCCGAGATCGCACCATTGCACTCCAGCCTGGGTAACAAGAGCGAAACTCCGTCTCAAAAAAAAAAGAATCTAATGTCTTATACATCCCAGTTCACCAGTTTGTCAGTTGTGGGATCATTTGGCTTTTTTTTTTTTTTTTTTTTTTAAAGAGACGGGGTTTCACCATGTTGACCAAGCTGGTTTCGAACTCCTGGCCTCAAGTGATCCACCCACCTATGCCTCCCAAAGTACTGGGATTACAGGCGTGAGCCACTGCGCCTGGCCCATCATTTGGCTATTTAGAGGAGGGCCTTGGAGTGCCCTCTTAGATTATTGTCTCAGCTAGTCCCTTCCTCAGTCTTACACTGCCCTTCCCCCAACCATGCAGAAAGCTGGTGAGGGCCGTCGGACAATGACCACAGTGCTGGACCCCAAGCGCAGCAATGCCATCAATATTGGCCTAACCACGTTGCCACCTGTGCATGTCATTAAGGCTGCCCTGCTCAACTTTGATGAGTTTGCTGTCAGCAAGGATGGCATTGAGGTGGGGACACCCAGCTATGTCCCTTGGTGGGTGGGAGGTCTGGCCCTCTCCTTGGTAGGTGGGCATTTCCTGTCCCTCAAGTGGTGGGCGTAGGCTTGGCATTTCTGCAGGGCAGCCCTCAGACTCTGGGACCTCCCCTAGATGACTGAGGGAGGGGTCAAGACCAATGCCTGAGGCCTCAGGCCTGCACTGAGGGGGCCATGTCAGGCTCTGGCTACATCCTCAGAAGCTACTGACCATGATGCCCACGGAGGAGGAACAGCAGAAGATCGAGGAAGCCCAGCTGGCCAACCCTGACATACCCCTGGGCCCAGCCGAGAACTTCCTGATGACTCTTGCCTCCATTAGTGGCCTTGCTGGTCGTCTACAACTCTGGGCCTTCAAGCTGGACTATGACAGCATGGAGCGGGTACCTGGGTCTTGGAGTGGGATAGACAGTAGGGACAGGTAAGCATCATGACCATGTAGTCTGAGAATCCCTGGTCCCCCATACCAGGAAATTGCTGAGCCACTGTTTGACCTGAAAGTGGGTATGGAACAGCTGGTACAGAATGCCACCTTCCGCTGCATCCTGGCTACCCTCCTAGCTGTGGGCAACTTCCTCAATGGCTCCCAGGTGAGTGAGAGTACATGGGGACTGGGGAGTCAGGGCTCTGGAGCCAACCAGGCCCAGGCTCAGAAAGGGTCCTTTCAGAGCAGCGGCTTTGAGCTGAGCTACCTGGAGAAGGTGTCAGAGGTGAAGGACACCGTGCGCCGTCAGTCACTGCTACACCATCTCTGCTCCCTAGTGCTCCAGACCCAGCCTGAATCCTCTGACCTCTACTCAGAAATCCCTGCCCTGACCCGCTGTGCCAAGGTTAGCACCTGCCAGAATCAACCAAGGCCAAAGGAGGAATGAGGGAGCGCTGCTTCCTGGGCCTGGCTCTTCCTCCTTCTCCCTATTTGGGCTGCTGTGCCAGGGTTTGGTCCAGCCACCTTCGTGCCCTCTGCCAGAAATGTTCTTTCCTCTATTAGCCTGGCCACACCTACTCAGTCTTTGAGTCTCAGTTTCTAACTGCCACTTCCCCCAAGAAACCTTCTGTTCCTTATCATATCAAATTGACTTGTCTGTCTCTTGTAATGCAAGAGTCCATGAGTTTTTGGAATCTATGAGTTTTTGGATATCTCCTTAAAGCCCAAGCTGGCCCGTCTGGCCCAAAGGCAGCCTCGGGCAGTGTCTTGTCTACCGGGTGTGGGGAGACAGTGCACCCCCTTGCTCTCCCAGGTGGACTTTGAGCAGCTGACTGAAAACCTCGGGCAGCTGGAGCGCCGAAGCCGGGCAGCTGAGGAAAGCCTGCGGAGCTTGGCCAAGCATGAGCTGGCCCCAGCCCTGCGTGCCCGCCTCACCCACTTCCTGGCCCAGTGTGCCCGCCGTGTTGCCATGCTGAAGATAGTGCACCGTCGTGTCTGCAATAGGTAGGGCTATGGGCCCAAGAGGGGCAGGATCACCACCACCCTCCCTCAGACAACAAGCAGGACTCACTGTCCCTCCCTACTCCTGCCTAGGTTCCACGCCTTCCTGCTCTACCTGGGCTACACCCCGCAGGCAGCCCGTGAAGTGCGCATCACGCAGTTCTGCCACACACTGCGGGAGTTTGCACTTGAGTATCGGACTTGCCGGGAACGAGTGCTACAGCAGCAGCAGAAGCGGGCCACATACCGTGAGCGCAACAAGACCCGGGGACGCATGATCACTGAGGTGGATGCCCTTCCAGGACTAAGTCTTCATTGCCACCCCCATGGTTTCCTTCACTCCTCCCAGCTCACCCTTCTTCCCTCTCCAGACAGAGAAGTTCTCAGGTGTGGCTGGGGAAGCCCCCAGCAACCCCTCTGTCCCAGTGGCTGTGAGCAGTGGGCCAGGCCGGGGAGATGCTGACAGTCATGCTAGTATGAAGAATCTGCTGACTAGCAGGTCTGAGAACACCACACACAATCGCCGCAGCAGAGGTGAGACTCACAGCTGCTGGGGGATTGGGCTCCAGGACCACCTTGGCCTGACCTCCCTATCTTGCCTCCCTCAGGCATGGTCCAGAGCAGCTCCCCAATCATGCCCACAGTGGGGTCTTCCACTGCATCCCCCGAAGAACCTCCAGGCTCCAGTTTACCCAGTGATACATCAGATGAGATCATGGACATGCTGGTGCAGTCTGTGACCAAGAGCAGTCCTCGTGCCTTAGCTGCTAGGGAACGCAAGCGTTCCCGTGGCAACCGCAAGTCTTGTAAGTAACCCCCAACAACCCCACTGCCCACCTGAACCCCATCAACCCCCTCCAACCCTGTTCTGTCCCTGCAGTGAGACGGACGTTGAAGAGTGGGCTCGGAGATGACCTGGTGCAGGCACTGGGACTGAGCAAGGGTTCTGGTCTGGAGGTGTGAAGGTGCTGCATCCTGGAAATCTATCTGGACCCTGGACTGCAGTGCAAGAGATGACAGAGTGAGGAGGGCCCAGAGCAGAATTCTGGCCCCAGAACTCTATAACCAGGAGCCATGCCTTCAGCAGTATTAGCTGTGTGTGTGTGCATGTGAGGGTGTGTGTGCGCGCGTGCATGCGCATATTATGCATGTGCATGTGTGTGGGCTCCTTGAACTCACGGAGCAAAATAAAATTTTCTTAACGAATCCAACAGCCTTTTCTTTCTTTCAGGGTCCCCACCAGGCGGGGACTGTAGCAGGAGGGAAATCCCATAGGACTAGCTCTTCCTGCCTCATCCCTCATCACCCACACAGCCATCAGCCACATTCTAAGCCATTTATTCAATGACCCTATAGAGTATAAGCATACCCGATAACTCAGACTTGCTTTTGGCCCCTGGACTAGGCCCTCATTGCTCCAGGCATGAGGGGCCATGCAGCCTGACACAGCCACCCAGGGCCAGCAGCCTGTGGCCACAATGTCAATGGCTATAACCGCTTCATCTGCCGCCGCTCCTGTCGGCGCTGCCGTTTCTCATTGTGCTCTGGTACTGGGGTGCCACTGTCTGCAGTGAACCAAGGACCTAGCACATTCACCCACAGGAGGTAAAGGGCCCGGCCTGGAGCCTACAAGAGAAATGGTAAATTGAAGCAAGGTGCAGGGAATAAAGGATGGGAAGGGTTAGATGCTGCTTCTTGGGATCGCCCCCAGCTCACATACCAGAAGCCAGAAGGACCAGACATAGAGAGAGAAGCAGCTGAGCACCTGCACGATGGCTGTCAGCAGGATCACATCCTTAAGGTGCCTGTGGACAGAAAGAAGGCTGCCAAAGACAGCAGATGGGCCCCAGTTCAACTCCCTTCCACCCTTTTCAAGTTGCAAGTTGCTGTGCTTCTTGGGCTATCTGGGCCCCAGCCCTGGGGCCGCTCACCTGGGCTGGCGGTGGGGGACACTCACTCTGCCATGCCCTGCTCCATGTTGAGGTCCATGCCACCATCCATCAGGGCCCCATCCTCAGAGAACGCTGCCCGTGCCATCGAGCTCATAGAGTGGTAGCTGGCCCCATATATTGCCAGACTAAAGCCCAGAGCCAACTGCAGAGCAAGAATTAGGGTATAAAAGGCCAGCCACTAACCCTATGCACTCATCCACTTCCCACCTCCCAGGATGTAAATACTTACCCAGGCCCAAAATGAGGCAGATGAGTAAAAGAAGACCAAGGTGACAAGGCAGTAAATGGCCTGCAAGCAATCACAGGATCAGGCTGGGGTCAGAAGACACCTTCAAACCATGGGTTTCCCTCAACTCTGACCAAGGTTTAGGCCAGGCTGTGGGAGGAGCAAGGTTATTCTTACGGGCTGGAAGGAAGGGCCCTGCTCCCTGAATCCCAAATACCCAGACTCTCCTCTGACACCCAACTCAGCCCAGGAAAGAAGCCTTTGTGTACTTGTAGGTAAGAAGGGCTCTCAAATTCAGCTACGACTGAATTCATTTCCTTTGTGTTTTACTAGTCAGCACTTTCTCTGTGCCCAGATCTTCTCCCATTTCTTTCTGATTGGGGCTCTCTTCTAGAGCTCTGTCGGGTACCAGTACTCCTCACCAAGCAGGGCTGAGGACTGGGGACTGTAAGTGGGCATAGAAGCAAGGAGGCAGGCACTTACATTGGCCCCTAGTATGATCCGCAGGTAGAACTTCAGGGTCTCTCTGTTCTCTTCAAATATCTGCTTCTTCCCTCTCGTGCCCACTTTGCCCTTGGGCTGCAGAGGGGTGATGAGATGCCGTCAGAAGGCCACCGTCCTCCTCATTCTCCCCACCTGCCTGGTTAGCTATAGAGCTCCAGCCGCAACTCAGCCAGGTTCCCGTAGTGCTGAAACCTAGCACAATCCCTGGGATGTCCACCCATCCTCCAGTCCACCCTGCATAGGGCTGACACCATCTCTCCAGCACCCACAGCTAGGATCGCCTCCTGCTTGCCCTGGAACAATTCAACCCTAAACTAATACCGCCTCTGGCTCCGTTGGTAGTCTGGCTGTGGGCTAATGATGACTCTTCTAAAGGTACTCCTGAGCGGAGTGCCTCTCTCATGCCTCCGCTGGCGTAGGCCCGATCTGGGCTAACGCCCACCTCAGGTCAGACATTTCTGGCCTGCTCTGGTACCGAAGCCCACCCTACTCCGGCACTAGTACTGGTATGGTCCTGCGCCGCCATCCCTCTGCCCCGCTCTCGTACAGTCTGGTCAGGGGATGGCGTCCCCTCTCCGGCCCACCCCACATCCCTTGTCCTTTCTTAGTTTTCACTCTCACAGCCCCGGGAGAGCTTTGCTGGTGCGGACCCTGCCCTACCACTTTTCTTACCGCCATGGTGCGAGGCAAACGCCCAGCCCAGCAAACAACGGGTGAGCGACCGAAATCGCAATCACTAAGCACCACATCCGCAGTGCATACACTTCCGGCGCAGACCGAAGTCGTCAGCCTCTGGGACGAAAATACGGCTCACTTCCTTCCTAAGCCCCGCCTCAGATGGGCGAGACTACACTTCCCAGAAAGCATTGCGCGGGGGGCGGAGGAGGCAGGGATGCGATGGCGGAGTCGCTGCCCCAGGAGGTGAGAGGAAGCCGCCCTCAGGCCTAGCTCCGGACAGACCCCGCCCTCGGGGTCCTGAGCTTTGGGGGAGGGGCTGTCAGATAGCTAGCCTGGCCCCTCCAGCTTGACGGAAACGACCCGCCCGGCAGATCCCGGGGCCTTCTAGCTCTGGGTAACGGCTCTGCCTTTGGGCCACTCTGTCCCCTTAGCTTAGGGGACCGTCCCGCCCTTCCCTATCGGCCCCAGGAGATGACTGCCCTGTTACCTCAGCGAGAACAGGCCCTCTGCCCATCTCCTTCCCTTGAGATGACTGTCTCCTCTTCCCTCACTTCTGGAAGGTGTCCGCTCCATCTCATCGTCCCGAAGGGTAACTGATCTTATCCCCATTGGTCCCTTGGGATGATCTCTCCATTTCCTACGCCCCGATAGAGACGGCCGCCCCCTCTCCCTGGCAGTGGGAAACAGACTGCTCCCTCCCCATCAACTGCAGTGATCTCTGAGTTCCTTTAGCTAGGACAGGCCTGTTCCGCATTCCTAGGCCCCTAGTGATGGCCGCCCTTACCTCTTTCACTCCATGGGATGTTTGCTCCTTCCTCTTATCCAGGGACAAGACCACTCTGCCCCCATCTGCCAGGAAGATAATAGGTTTTGTCCCCAGTTGCCTGTTGGAATGGCTTCACCATCTCTTTTGTCCTGAGGTTGGCAAACCCCTCTCTCTGCCCATGGAAAACAGGCCACCAGTCCTGGAATGATGCTCCCTATTCTTAGGAAAAATAGGCCTGTTCCCACCCCGTTGAGCTTGCAGTGCCATCCCTTGCCCGCTTAGCTTCAAGGGCTAGCTATTCCATCCCCATAAATCCTATGAGTGACCAATCATATATCCAGTAGCCCCCTTGAAATGGGGCTCATGGGCTCCATCCTTATCACTGCCTCCTCTGGTTCCTTTAGAAAGACCACCCCCTTCTTAAGTCAATGAGTATCCCTCCCCTACTCACCCCAAGGGATGACAAGGTTTGTTCCCCTCTCTCTTTGTTCTTGGGTTGGCTGCTTAGGCCCAGAAGACAGAATGGCCAGTATCTTAACTCAGCTCAAACAGGCTTCCCTTCCTCCCCGAAGGGATTGGGGCTTGGTCAGTCCCAGTGCCCATCAATACTGTCTTCCCCATGCCTAGCCTCCCCAGAAGTCTATTCTCCCAGTCATTCTTCTCTCAGTAATGACTATTTTATTTCCCTGACCCCTTCCCTGAGCAAACTCTTGGTGAAAATAGAGATAGAGGACTGGACTGTATATCCTTAATTTAATCCAGTAAGTATTGGCTGAGCACTGAGCCTATGTGCTTGGCATCTGAGAAGGGAAGGAGCGATCACAACGGGTTGGTGAAGTCAAGGTTCAGGAAGGGCATCCCAGGGAAAAGGCCCGCATAGGCAAAAGGAAATAGATATGCTGTTTGTAGGACAGTGGGGAGACTGGATTGGGGAAGTTCAGGGACCAGCAAGTCCAATTAGGCATGGACACCTGACAGTGCTGATCCAGGAGTAGAGACTGTCCTGAGAGTACTGGTGAACCCTGAAGGTTTATGGCAGGGGTGAGCTGAAACTGAAAACTGTTTTATAGGAAAAATTGACCTTGTGAAAAGTGTGCAGAGTGTATTACTGAGGATGAACTTGGAGGCAGAGAGTTCAGGTGGGAGATTGTGGAAGGAATCCAGGTTTCAGGTGGTGGAAATCTGAACTACTGAGGTGGGAAAGTTGCAAAGGTAGAGATTTTACTAACAGCAATCCAGCAACCACTTATGGAGCATCTACTTGTCACGAACACACTATATATATGTAAAATTTAATCCCATAAGGCTATGATCTAGATTTTTTTTTAAGGATCCCTGTTTTATAGATACGGAAACTGAAACTCAGAGAGGTCAAGTACCTTATTTAAGATCACACAGCACTATGACAGGAAGTATTGGAGCTGGAATTTGATTGAGTCTAGGTTAGCCTGGCCTAAAGTCTGTGCATTACACCTGTATCTGGGAGGAAGGGACAGAAGTGCTTGAATAGTCCGAAGTGTTATCAGGTGGATGCTCTGTTGGCATTGAAGTCCCCTTCAGTAGGCTTCATTGGGAGGGGCTGTTTTGGGCTGAGGGTAGAATATGAGTTTTGGTTGAGATTAAATCAATGGCTAAACATTTGCATGGACAGTTGGCAATATGGATTAGCATTCGGCTAATAAGACAATATGGGAATATTAACTTGTTGGTTATTCCTGTGTTGGTAAACAGAAAACCAAAAGACACAGGTCTGAGCCCTAGGAGCTGCAGAAGAATCCAAAAATGAGGCAATTGGGATGCAGGAAGGAAGATTCCAGAAGAAAAGAATAGTTAATATCAAATCATTCTAGGCCTCAGTGGCAACTGCTTCCCCAGTTCCGTTTAGGGCTTTGAACCACACTACCCCCTAGGTGGGGGGAAGGGCCTGAGCCTCCCAGGCTAGGTCTTACTGGGATTAAATCTTAACAACCAGTGGAGAGGGCAAGGTGGCAGTAGACAAGATGGCAAAAGAGCAGGCCCTCAGAGCCTGAGCCATGAGGGCAGGAGGATCTATGATTTCCTGACAATCAGAGTGAGCATAACTGG